GAGTAAACTCTCCTCACATTGGTCAGAGTGTCATGTTTTGTTTTGCAGAGTCCCACTCAGCTGTCAGGGAGGGTGGTGGTTTGGTGTTTTGACAGGGTGCGTGCGACGTGTCTGAAGACCGAGGAGGGATTTCTCACTACAATCGATCTGCTCCAGAGTTTGTATTAATCGAGCCGAGACCACCTAATTCAAGCAATCTGGGAGCGATTGTTTTGGCGCGGATCCGAGCACGATTGGTGGATTCACATATGCCAAACGAACCGCGCTAACTGGGCAAATGAGACAGGTTCCCAAACAAAAGTCTAGGTGAGAAAGCACCCTAAGAGCTATGTTGTTGGGTCTACTGCTAAAAAGGTCTTAAGTGACATGTCAGACTTAAGCCTGGTTTATACTTCTGCGTCAAGTGACCGGCGTAACCCACGGCGCATGCATCGCGCGTAGCTGTGCATTTATACTTCTGCGCTAGTGTCTCTGTCTGAATTAACACTTCTGAAATGCTAGTGGGCAGTGAGGTGTTAATGTTTTTCTGTGTCGAGTTTCTTCTCTGCTGTTTTGCTTTTCCTAAACACTTCCTGGATGTACAAGTGGCTCAAACTCGCTCATTTTGAGGCAGGAACCGGCGGACGTGCAACAACTTTAACTATGAGGTAAACACAAAACTTTCCATCAGGAGCTCCTTCACGGGAGCTCCTTCGCGTCCATCTCGCGCGGCTCTCGGCACCGCCCAGACTCGTCAGCGCTACCAAGCCAACCAATCACAGAGCTTGCGCTACGCGTCGTTGCAACGTGTAGTTACAGTTTTTGAGAGGTGCACGTCAGCGACGGCCACGGCGAAGGGCTATGCGTCAGCGCCGTAGCATACGCCAGCGTTTGACGCAGAAGTATAAATCAGCCTTCTAGAATTAAAACAATTCGCATCCACACTGGTATTTCAGCTAGCGTTTTCTGAACAGATCCACACTACACCTCTAAAAACGCACACGGACACTCTGGCAAGCGCTGTAGCATATGCGCGAGTCTGAGCTCCAGGCAGTAAGCGGGTTCTCTGTGGGCACGTCCCCAGATAAGAGCAGAGCAGATCAGACAGTTCACCAAGGATCTTCTGCTGGAATTCATCTCACTGTAGTTGTTAAACATGATATTTAATTAATCTTGTCTCTATCTGACGACTCTTTGGTCTTTTGAATCTATTACTTGTTCTCAGATAACAGGGCTCAAAATTACGACCGTTGTGGTCGCATAGGCGCCCGAAATTATATCCAAGCGACCTCAAAATATAATTGGGAGCATTTGTGTAAATAAAATTGATGTTGTTCGACCAGTTTTTACAGCAAAATGTTCACAGAATTAGGAGGCATTCACGCATTATGCATCTTTGCACCTAAAAACAGCAAATGCAGCACTCAGGAATGGATTAAAACAGTTGACATGTCAACTTGCTGCAGTTAAAGCCTGCAATGCTTGCCCTGCCTTCAAGCTCTTATTACTGGCCCACTGCGCTAGAACAGAACGTGAATGGATTGGTTAATTGGGTAGTGTGGATGGAAAACGTAACCATAGCAAAACGTATGCATTTAAAATAAAAACGTATTAGTATAAACAGGGCCTAAGTGCAGTTCAAAAACCCTTTGAGTCCTAAAAGATTGAGGACTGTCCCCGCTTTGGTGCAGTCGGGGCCCACCCAAAGCTTTTCTTTTAAAGGCTTATTATTGAAGAATCAGGAATAAACACCAACCTGCTTGCTCTTCAGTATCTTCATCTTTAATTCTGCAGGGTTCTGGATCACTCATGTTCTCACGGTCCTTTAATATACTCTGTCTTTGCAGATCTCACTTCTTGCTGAAGGTCTGATGCTCGTCTTCACTTGTAAAATGATGCGAAGATTCTAGTTTTTATACCTAAAGGAAAAGCAGATCTGACAAGATAAAAAAAGTCTAAATTTAATTTATGCCTTTTCAAATATTGCAAATATTAACCCAACATTGGCAAAATGATTATCAAAATATAGCTAAAAAGAAATGTTTAATTAATGATTATGGTAAATCTAAAAGCAAATAGGAATGAATGAGTCAGAGTTACAAAGCACAACCTTCAATCTAAACACAAGATTTAATTTGATATTAGTACTAGGTCAGATTAGTTTTCTCTCAAACACAATATTTAAGGACATTTGATAAATTTGAAATTTTATCCACAATTGCAAACATAATCTGTAATGTATTGTGACATTTTCAAAAAAGTATGCATTGATTAACAGGAAATCATTTTTATTTTCCAGCTAGCTATAACACAATTTTAACACTTGGCACTTCTTTATTAACTTGAAGCTAACCTGAAAATACTACATATAAACATCTGTATAAACTACCACAATCCAGCGCCACCTTGTGGACAACTAAAAAGGTGCGTGTAGTTAAAATGTAAACAGATTGATGGAGCAAATAAAACGTACCTCAGAAGACTATAAACATACAGAAATTGTCTTTAGCCTGTGCTGCACATCTGAACCCTATACACACAAATCTGCACTGACAAATACAAGTGTCATTAGTATAAAATGGCGATTTTCCAATCTGCATTTAGCACCTATACTAAACTCTGAGACCTGAAAATTCCCACAAAAATTATATTAGCGGCGAAACAATACCAAAATCACGCAATAAAGCTTTTATAAACATTAAAATTAAAACATTAAAAACATAAACAGTTAATTTTACCAAAGGAAAAGGAAATGTTTCCAGCAGCATTACTCCACACCACTTACCTTCAGCTATGCACAGCAGTAATGCGAGGGGAAGAGGTACGGAAACTCGGGAGGTACAAAAAGGACGATGTGCATCATATTATCACAGGACACAAATAAAAATAAGTGGTAAATAAAATTTGAACAAAATGTTAAACAAAATTAATAAAGTAGCAAATGTAAAAATAATTGTTACTTATCATTAACTCTGTTACACAAAGATAAAAATTGAGTATTTTTGAAGAAAAATATTGATTCTTGTGTTTTGGTTTTCAAAGATAATCTCAGCCTACTTGAGTATAATATTAACTTTGTCATAGTTTCAGTGTTTAAAGTGGGAAACTGCACTGGTTTTACACAAACTTTGATGAAATATCCCCAACATACAAGTCTGGCTTTATTTTTTATGTTTTAAAAGCTAATGGTTTTATAATGTTTTAATGGTATTTGTGACCCGTTTCAGTTAGTTTTTTTTTTCAGGAGTTTGTTATTTCTCATTCTCAAAATATTAGACTACACAGGAAAAAAAAAAGTTTTAATATTTATATTGCAATATTGCTGATTAAATATCCAATAATCACCCACCACAAGACATTGTTCTTGGACATAAGGGGGGCTCAATCAAGTCTGCAAATCGTGTACTCCTTTTCTTATTATCCTTTTAAAATATTGGCCAATTTCGGACTTCTGTCTTGTATGAAGATTTGCAAACGTTATTTGAAAATGACATACTGTATGTCCAGTGATTCTTCTCAGCATAACCAGAAAACAAAGCTACAAACATGTTAATATGGTAGTGTGCCATAAAATTTAATTATTTATTGTTTATGTAATGCTGTTCTGATGTTTATTTGTGTAAATGCTGCGTGGTTAACAGATGCGCGCGCGGAGTCGCAGGTGTTGCCATGGAAACGGGGCAACAACACTCACTCTGTCAGGCAGCAAAACTCCGTCTCTCGCTGCTGTTTTCACGGCTTTCAGGTAAGTTCAGAGCCAAAAATAATACAAAACAAACACAAAACGATTCCTGACTTGATCATTCTAACTTATTTATCGTAATTAACACGTTTGTGTCGTATATTTACTTCATTTTAGTGCCTTCGGAGGAAGTCCGTTACTCTCAACCGTTTCAGGCAAGGCACGTAGCGCTAACGTTAGGCTAACTCTATAAAGCTCGTTTATAAAGGTTTTGTCTTTTTATTCAAATCTTTATATGTAGAAGAGAGGTTTAAATAGCTTTGTTAAAGCTGTGCTTGTAAGTAGTCAATGTTTTATTTGAAGTAGTCTAATTTATTTAGCCTAAAATATGCGCAGCCACTGTTAATCAGTGATATCAAGGAGCTAACATTCAGATAAGAGGAGGATGTCATTCTAGTCATTTTGTACAACTACAAAATGTGTTGTAATATTTGTATATATTCACAATAGACATATGAAACTAGATATATCATTATAATGAACAGGCATATTGATATCTTGGGCAGTTTAAAATACTGTAAATATTATTAATCAATTTTTTAGAGTGCTTTTTAGAATATTCACTTTGTATTTGCAGTGGTTTCATAACAGTCCCAAATGCTTGGAGGTTTAGGTTATCTTAATAGTTCAATCATGAACATTTTCACATGTTAATATGGCCTGCATTATGCTGAATTATTGATTGAAAATTATGTGATTATTTATAGAGCTATTGTACATTACCACTGTGCAATATTACTCCAATAGTGAACTTTAGTTCATTTAACTTTCCATGAGCTTTTATAAATTTTAGCGTCTTATAAATATTAAACACATGGCTCTAGTGCGACTTAATTTCTTAATGGTGCGACAAAAAAAACTGGTCACAATTGAGTGTAAAAATATTAATCAGTTTTTGAAAGTCTCCACGACTGGTTCAACAGTCAAAAATATAAATATTCTATTAAGTATCATTAATGGAATATTTATAACAATATTATCTTGCTTATGGTTATATCAATACTAGGTTTGCAGTCTTACTCATTCTCGCCAAGATAACAAGTGCTGAATCCCACGTGACAAGTTTTCTTTGTTGCAGATTTGTGTGTTCCTTTTAAAAAAATGCTTTTATTTTTTAAATCTCTTAAGTTATTATAAGCTTTAGTACATAATCTGCCTCAAAGATATTGGAGTTTAATAGTGTGATGTGCAGTACTCCCCTCTGTATAAAGTTTACACAATGCTATAGGTCTCCAGCTCTGATGTGTTATGGTATGTTTTAAATGACAGTGAGACATGCTAAAATTACAAATATTTTTATTGTAAACTATACATTATAACCGAGTACACAGTAAAATAATCTTTACTGAATGGCCAGCCTATTGGCAGCGAACAGTCTTTAAGCTTAAATAGGCCAGACATGTTTTTTTTAATCAACATTAAAACTAATTATCTATTTACACCTTTTTTAGCCCTGATAAAAATTTTTTAGTTGTACTCTATTTTTGAGTCATGCTGTAATCTTACATCAACAACACATGGCACGCAATGCCTTGATAATAACAGATAATCATATTACATTACAAACAACCCAACAAGTTGTTTAGCACACGTGCATCGCTGCTGTAATGTTTACACATGTAATATTTTTTCCTGAGGCGATTTAAAGCAAAACACACAATGGCACTCAATCAAACATATCTACAATGATAAGGAACGTATTTATTTACTGAGTTATTAAAGCACAGCAATACCACATGAAGAAAGGACAGACTTTGAAGGAATAAACTATGTGAGGAGAGATCCACTATAGTGCACTGGACAAGTCTAAACAAGTTCCACCCACCCATGCGTGAGGCAGGCAGTTCTGTACAACTACCTAACTTATCGTCTTAAAGATATCGGCCTAATTTAGACTTCGGATCAATAACGATAATCTTGAAAAAAAGCATTTATCGTCCGATAAATATGGCCTATGATATATTATGCATCCCTACATTATATAAAAATTATCCTAGATGCATAAAACAACAAATAAAGCCGAGGCATCTTACACGATAAAAAACATTGCTGTTTAGAGTGCCATTTTTCAGTGGATGAGCGATGCTTGTGGTCCAACATCACTGTTGAACTCTGAATATCCAATCTACACCCACCGATCCTGATTGCAGATGGGTTTTTTAAATTTGATCCTTCTGGTCTACTAACCCAAGATTATCTAAAAACGCTGATCTTGATCATGACGTGCAACTGAGTGTCTGTGCATCAATAGACTCAAGTGAGTGATAATGCGACAACTGTGAAAGACAAGAAGAGAGGTAAGAAGAAAACATAATATTGTAATAATCACATAAATAATAATAATGAAAACAAATTCTCAGTGTACTAAAGATGTATAATGACCTAATATTTGCTTATATTCATGTGTAACATAATTTTTTCGTATTACAGAACTTTTATGGCATTGCCTGGCATGGCATGGCACACTTGAAAGGTAAGTTCTGGTAAGGTCTTGCATCAATTCAATCTCATCTATTATTACAGCTATAGTAACCGCTCCAATATTCTAATAGACTGGTGCTGATCCTGATGACCATATCATTACAGACCAATTGCTCAATCTCTTACTCTGTTCACTGATAATTCCCAAGTCAATTTCTCTACTTTTCACACTCAATCTCTCACACCAGAATTATCTGATGTTCAGACATGAAACACCTTTTCACTGGAGAAAACATTTTGCTGCATTGATGTCATTTGTGCAGCTTTTCTCCAGTGTGGATGTTCATGTGTTTCTTAAGCTGCTCTGGGTATGTGAAACTCTGAGAACACTGATCACATGTGTACGGCTTCTCTCCAGTGTGAATCCTCTCATGTCTTCTCAGGGTTCCTAAAAGACTAAACCTCTTGCTACACTGTAAACACTTGTACAGTTTCTCTCCAGTGTGAACCTTCTCATGCGATTTTAGAGAACCTAACAGACTAAATCTCTTGTCACAGTGTGAACACTTGAAAGGTTTCTCTCCAGTGTGAATTCTCTCGTGCAGTTTCAGTTGTGTAGCTGTAATATAAGTCTTCTTACACTCAAAGCACATATACTGTCTAACAGCAGTGTGGGACGTCTGATGCCTTTTTAATTTGGACTCCAATGTAAAACTCTTTTCACACACAGGACATGAATAAGGCTTCTCACTTCTATGAAGTGCAAGATGGACCTTCAGCTTTGAAGGCCTCAGAAATGTTTTGCTGCAGTGATCACATTTGTGTGGTTTCTCTCCGGTGTGGATCTTCATGTGCTGAGTAAGGCGTGATGATAGGCTGAAACTCTTCCCACACTGAGAACATGTGAACGGTTTCTCTCCAGTGTGGATCATCATGTGTTGATTAAGGGATAATAGTTGGGAGAAACTCTTCCCACACTGAGTACATGTGTGTGGTTTCTCTCCAGTGTGGATCCTCATGTGTCTATTGCGGTGTGATGAGTGGCTAAAACTCTTCCCACACTGAGAACATGCATATGGTTTCTCTCCAGTGTGGATCATCTTGTGTTTACTAAAGTTTGATGAGTGTCTGAAACTCTTCCCACACTGAGGACATGTGAATGGTTTCTCTCCAGTGTGGATCCTCATGTGTTGATTAAGGGATGATGATAGGCTAAAACTCGCCCCACACTGAGAACATATGAATGGTTTCACTCCCGTGTGAATCGTCATGTGTTTATTGAAGCTCGATACGTGTCTGAAACTCTTCCCACACTGAGTACAGGTGAATGGTTTCTCTCCAGTGTGGATCATCATGTGATAATTAAGGTGTGATGAGTCTCTGAAACTCTTCCCACACTGAGTACATGTGAATGGTTTCTCTCCAGTGTGGATCATCATGTGTTTGTTAAAGGTTGATGAGTCTCAGAAACTTGTTTCACACTGAGTACATGTGAATGGTCTCTCTCCAGTGTGGATCCTCATGTGTTGATTAAGGTGTGATGAGTGTTTGAAACTCTTTCCACACTGAGTGCATGTGAATGGTCTCTCTCCTGTGTGGATCCTCATGTGTAAATTAAGGCTTGATGAGTATCGGAAACTCTTTCCACACTGAGTACACTTGATTGGTTTCTCTCCGGTGTGGATCCTCATGTGAAGCTTAAGACTCTTTTTGGTTCTGAAGCTCTTTCCACACTGAGTGCAGGTCAAACGATTCTTGTCTCTCCTTTTTAAAACACCAGAAGTCTGTAAATTAGGGTTTTTCTCAGCTTCAACATGACGTTTCTCCTCTTCACTCTCCTTATTCTCCCCAAATGGGTCTGAAACAAAGTTCCTTTTTTAGTAAGTCAATAAAAAACAAATGTAGGATGAAAATTTGAAGTGTAAAGACTCTGTAAACACTGGCTACAAAAACATTAACTTTAATGCACATAAATGTAAAATACATCAGATCGTGTTTAGTTTGGTCTTGTCATATTCAATGTTTAACAAAACATGGAAATAAAAGACGACTAAGATGCAGTCCCTGTTTGTACCCTGTTAAAAAAAATACAGTACCAGTCAAAATAACTGCTGTCTTAATGTATGTAGTTTCAAATGAAATTATTACTCCAGTCATTGCATTATTACTATTAACATTAATAATAATAACTAATATTAAGAGTGATTTATGAAGGATCATGCGACTCTGAAGACTTATAAACTACTTTTGAACAGTTATTTTATTGACCTTATTCTTCAATGCTGAAGTGCGCTCGTTTTTGCGATTGTTTTAGAACTTTCGATTCAGCTGCGTATGGGAGAAATGACTAGGAATAATAAACGGCAGAAAACGGTCAAACTGCTAGCTCTACAAACAAGTGTTTGCATGACTATACAGACAAAGTAGATTAATATTATAAGAAAATATCAGTTTGCAACACCAAGCAGCAAAACAGGCTGTTTTTAATGTCTAAAAATGAATGAAAGTGAAGGAGACCGGAAGACTCGAGCCAAAATGATTCAAATGGCTGCGCCCACTCATACTCGGAGAATAAGGTGAATAGTGCAATGACATTTCACAATTTGTTCTGTGTTTTTGATTGAATAAATGCAGCCTTGGTGAGCTGGAAAAGCTTACTTTAAGACATTTAAAAATCTTAGTTGCCCTAACTTAGTGTATGTTATAGTATGATCAGATGAATTGTTCAAAGCTTTTCATTTACAGATTTATTAATGAAGAAACAGGAACAACTGCCAACCTGTTTGTTGTTCAGTATCTTCATGTGTAGTTTTGCAGGGGTCTGGATTACTCATGTTCTCACGGTCCTTTAATAAACTCTTGCCTTTGCAGATTTCACTTCTTGATGATGTTCTGGTGATCATCTTCACTTGTGGGCTGATTGGAAAATTACAGCATTTACACCCAAAGGAGGAAGAGCTTCGAAATGTAGGAAGAGCAGATCTGCCAAGATTAAAAATAATCAAAATGTAATGTAAGCCTTTTCAAGGTAGAGTGAGTCTAAACAGCCCTGTCACGCTCGCAAACTGTAAACTTAAGGGAAACACTACAGTTAGGGTTTGGTTTATAGGTTGGGATTAGGTATAAATTACATTTTTTGAACAAAAATGATATTTAAGTTTCAACATCGATTTTAATCCAGGATCACATCATATTTGACAAACTCAAAATCACACCCACCTGGTAAAACATGTCATTGTGGGAAAACATGACAGATCAAATTAACATGTAAAATAGCTGAAGAAATATGTCATCATCAAATTAGTTTCCCACTAATATCAAAAGCAAATCTACACTCTCGGTTGACACCAATAAAATGAGCTAAATGAGGGAATTTACACCTCAGCATAATGAATGAGGTGAAAACAGAAACTACTGATATGAGCTAAAGAGGATTTCAGCAGCTCCGATTATATTGATGAGCTTCAGACTAGAGTCTCATTAAACAAGCCATTCAGGATCAACAGCAGATCAGCTCAACCTTATAAAATGAAAATCAAAGACAAGTGAGATTCAGACCCTAATCTACACCCTACAAATATCCATCCACATAATTCTTATGTAATGTAAATTTAATCAATGCAAGTGTAACCAGTCAACTTTTACTTAAGCAAAGAAGACACCAAGTACAAGTACTGCAAAATACAAGTTACATTAGTATAAAATGGCGATTTGCTAACCTGCTTTTAGCACCAATACTAAACTCTGAGACCTGAAAATTCCTACAAAAATTACATTAGCGGCGAAACAAAACAAAATCACGCAACAAAGCTTTCATTAACATCACAAACATTAAAACTTACAACATAAACAATTAGCTTTCCCAGAAGAAAAAGAAATGTTTTCAGCAACATTTCTCCACACAACTTACCCTCAGCGATGCACAGCAGCAATGAGACGGAGCGAGGAGAGGAAGCGAAGAGGTACGGAAACCCGGGAGGTACAAAAACGACGATGTGTATTATATTATCACAGGACACAAATAAAAATAACCGCTTAATAAAATTCACAAATAATGAACAAAATAATTAAAAGTAGCAAATTGTAAAAATAGTAGCTATTTAACAGAGTGCATTGACTCTGTTACACAAAGATAAAAATTGAGTATTTGTGAAGAAAAATGTTGTTTTTTGTGTTTAGGTTTTCAAAGATGATCTCAGCCTACTTCAGTATAATATTAACTTTGTCATGGTTTCAGTGTTTATAGGGGGATCTGCACTGGTTTTACATAAACTTTGATGAAATGTTCCCAACATTCAAGTCTGTATTTAATTTTTATGTTTTAAAAGCAAATAGTTTATAATGTTTTAATGATATTTGTGAGCTTAACAACATCTGTTTCAGTTACAGTTTTCTTTCAGGAGTTTGATATTTCTCGTTCTCAAAATATTAATGCTGTTAACAATATATTTACAAATTTACTCTATATTTTTCCTGCTGCTTTATGCACTGATCAGTACTTTTCAGACGTTTATGAAAGTAGGTAAATTTGTGTGCACCCATGGGTGACGAAACAAACAACTGAAATCAAGGTGTAACTTTAACAGCGGATTTATTATTTATGTAATGTTGTTCTGATGTTTATTTGTGTAAATGCTGCGTGATTTTGATGCGCGTGCGGAGTCCCATCCAAATGCGGGAGTTGCCATGGAAACGGGGCAACAACACTCACTCTGTCAGACAGCAAAACTCCATCTCTCGCTGCTGTTTTCACGGCTTTCTGGTAAGTTCAGAGCCTAAAATCATTAAAATATGACATAAAATGCTTTTTGATCTTGATCTTTCTTAGTTATTGTAATTAACACGTTTCTGTTGCATATTTACTTCATTTTAGTGCCTTTGGGAAAAGTCCGTTAGCATCTTCTCAACTGTTTAACCATTTGAAGGTAAGTAGCACTTGGCTTTCTACTCTATAAAGCTCTTGTTTATAAGGTTTTACCTTTTTATTCACATCTTTATATGTAGAAGAGATGTTTTAATAGCTTTGTGAAGGCTGTGCTTGCAAGTAGTCAATGTTTTATTGAAAGTAGTCAATTTATTTAGCCTAAAATATGCGCAACCACTGTTAATCAGTGATATCAAGGAGCTAACATTCAGATAAGAGGAGGATGTCATTCTAAACTACAAAATGTGTTGTAAATTTTTTGTATATTCACAATAGACATATGAAAATCAATATATCATTATAATGAACAGGCATATTGATATCTTGTGCAGTTTAAAATACGGTGAATATTATTATTTAAACTTTTACACTGCTTTTTCAGAATATACACTTTGATTTTGCAGTGATTTAATAACACTCTAAAATGCTTGGAGGTTAAGGTTACCTTAGTAGTTTAAACATGACCTAATTTTCATATTCTAGACTTGTTTATTTTTAATATAATTATACAACTGTATAAAATGTGATGTGGTTAATTTTTTTTAGTTAGATGCAACTGGTGTAAAAAGTCTAGAGCCCTGATAAAGAATTATAGTTGTACTCTTTTTATGAGTCATGCTATTGCTTATTTAAAAAAAATATTTTCTTTGAATTAAAAGGTAAGGCATTCATTTTCATTCATGGAAACAATTAAATAATAGGGCAAATGTAACTCTACTCCAGTGTAGCAAATGCAATTTACTTACAGACACAGCGTAATATGATTTAGAAACTGCAATCGACTCCTTATTGCTGATCAAAATGAACACATTTAATGCAAAACTAAATCCATTTCTCCACTGATTATTTAAACCAGCAGGAACAAATAGTTTCTTGTGTTTTAATGAACACGACACAGTTTGAATTGTGAATAAATGAAGAATAATTGACAGGCAGAGTAAAGGGAAGTGCTGAGGTGAACATGAATTTAACCATGTGAATATTCATCTGTTCTTTACATTGAACGACTTCAGAACATTTGAGATATAGTAGGTCTACATGAAAAAACTTTCTGTTGCCTTATAATAGGCTGCCTTCATGGCTTATAAACACAGAATATCGATACCCAATCCAGCAAAAATGTGTGTTAACGAACAGATATCTGATTAAAATATTTTGATCAGTGCATCCCTATATGAAGGGGCAGAAAACAGTCAGTGGAGATTAAGAATAAATACTCAGATAATGTCAGCTATTAATTGTGTGCCTCAGGGGTCAGTGCCATCATTTATATTTTACCTTTAGGTCATACATTTCATTATTATAGTCTTCATTTACATTTTGTGCTGATGATACACAATTTTATATTTCCATAAGACCTAGAATTAAATTTTTTTATCATATTGGTCATTCATAACTTTGTTCAAGTTAAATGAACAGAAGCCCACCACTGGGTGTGTTTTGTCTAAAGCTCAGTCTTTTACTCTGTTCACTGATAATTCCCATGTTAATTTCTCTACTTTTCACACTCAATCTCTCACACCAGAATTATCTGATGTTCAGACATGAAACACCTTTTCACTGGAGAGAATGTTTTGCTGCATTGGCGTCATTTGTGCAGCTTTTCTCCAGTGTGGATGTTCATGTGTTTCTTAAGCCTCTCTAAGTATGTGAAACTCTGAGAACACTGATCACATGTGTACGGCTTCTCTCCAGTGTGAATCCTCTCATGTCTTTTCAGGGTTCCTAAATGACTAAACCTCTTGCTACACTGTGAACACTTGTACAGTTTCTCTCCAGTGTGAACCTTCTCATGCGATTTTAGAGAACCTAACAGACTAAATCTCTTGTCACAGTGTGAACACTTGAAAGGTTTCTCTCCAGTGTGATTCCTCTCATGCAGTTTCAGTTGTGTAGCTGTAATATAAGTCTTCTTACACTTAAAGCACATATACTGTCTAACAGCAGTGTGGGACTTCTGATGCCTTTTTAATTTGGACTCCACTGTATAACTCTTTTCACACACAGGACATGAATAAGGCTTCTCGCTTCTATGAACTGAAAGATGCATCTTCAGCTGTGAAGCACTTAAAAATGTTTTGCTGCAGTGTTCACATTTGTGTGGTTTCTCTCCGGTGTGGATCTTCATGTGCTGAGTAAGGCGTGATGATAGGCTGAAACTCTTCCCACACTGAGAACATGTGAACGGTTTCTCTCCGGTGTGGATCCTCATGTGTTGATTAAGGGATGATGGTTCAGAGAAACTCGTCCCACACTGAGTACATGTGTGTGGTTTCTCTCCAGTGTGGGTCCTCATGTGTCTATTGCGGTGTGATGAGTGGCTAAAACTCTTCCCACACTGAGAACATGCGTATGGTTTCTCTCCAGTGTGGATCATCTTGTGTTTAGTAAAGTTTGATACGTATCTGAAACTCTTCCCACACTGAGGACATGTGAATGGTTTCTCTCCGGTGTGGACCCTCATGTGCTGATTAAGGGATGATGATAGCCTGAAACTCTTCCCACACTGAGAACATATGAAAGGTTTCGCTCCAGTGTGAATCATCATGTGTTTAATAACGCTCAATTCGTGTTTGAAACTTTTCCCACACTTAGTACAGGTGAATGGTTTCTCGTCAGTGTGGATCATCATGTGTTTATTAAGTTGTGAAGTCTCTCTGAAACTCTTACCACACTGAGTACAGGTGAATGGTCTCTCTCCAGTGTGGATCATCATGTGTTTATTCAAGTTTGATGTGTATTGGAAACTCTTCTCACACTGAGTACATGTGAATGGTCTCTCTCCAGTGTGGATCCTCATGTGTTGATTAAGGTGTGATGAGTGTTTGAAACTCTTTCCACACTGAGTGCATGTGAATGGTCTCTCTCCGGTGTGGATCCTCATGTGTAAATTAAGGCTTGATGAGTATTGGAAACTCTTTCCACACTGAGTACACTTGAATGGTTTCTTTCTGGTGTGGATCCTCATGTGAAGCTTAAGACTCTTTTTGGTTCTAAAGCTCTTTCCACACTGAGTGCAGGTCAAACGATTCTTGTCTCTCCTTTTTAAAACACCAGAAGTCTGTAAATTAGGGTTTTTCTCAGCTTCAACATGACGTTCCTCCTCTTCACTCTCCTTATTCTCTCCAAATGGGTCTGAAACAAAGTTCCTTTTTTAGTAAGTCAATAAAAAATAAAAAGTAGGATGAAAATTTGAAGTGTAAAGACTCTGTAAACACTGGCTACAAAAACATTAACTTTGATGCACATAAATGTAAAATACATCAGATCGTGTTTAGTTTGGTCTTGTCATATTCAATGTTTAACAAAACATGGAAATAAAAGACGACTAAGATGCAGTCCCTGTTTGTACCCTGTTAAAAGAAATACAGTACCAGTCTAAATAACTGCTTTGTAACTGCATTGTATGTAGTTTCAAATGAAATGATTACTCCAGTCATTACATTATTACTATTACCAATGTTAATAATAACTAATATTAAGAGTGATTTATGAAGGATCATGCGACTCTGAAGACTTATAAACTACTTTTGAACAGTTATTTTATTGACCTTATTCTTCAATGCTGAAGTGCGCTCGTTTTTGCGATTGTTTTAGAACTTTCGATTCAGCTGCGTATGGGAGAAATGACTAGGAATAATAAACGGCAGAAAACGGTCAAACTGCTAGCTCTACAAACAAGTGTTTGCATGACTATACAGACAAAGTAGATTCATATTATAAGAAAATATCAGTTTGCAACACCAAGCAGCAAAAAATGTCTAAAAATGAATGGAAGTGAAGGAGACCGAAGACTCGAGCCAAAATGATTCAAATGGCTGTGCCCACTCATACTCGGAGAATAAGGTGAATAGTGCAATGACATTTCACAATTTGTTCTGTATTTTTGATTAAATAAATGCAGCCTTGGTGAGCTGGAAAAGCTTACTTTAAGACATTTAAAAATCTTAGTTGCCCCAAACTTAGTGTATGTTATAGTATGATCAGATGAATTGTTCAAAGCTTTTAATTTACGAGTTTATTAATGAAGAAACAGGAACAACTGCCAACCTGTTTGTTGTTCAGTATCTTCATGTGTAGTTTTGCAGGGGTCTGGATTACTCATGTTCTCACGGTCCTTCAATAAACTCTTCTCTTTGCAGATTTCTCTTCTTGATGATGTTCTGGTGATCATCTTCACTTGTGGGCTGATTGGAAAATTACAGTATTTACACCCAAAGGAGGAAGAGCTTCGAAATGTAGGAAGAACAGATCTGCCAAAATTAAAAATAATCAAAATGTAATGTAAGCCTTTTCAAGGTAGAGTTCAAGGATCATCTCGTTATAAAAAATATTAAACCTAAAATATTGACAGATAACATTTGCAAAATGGTAATCAAAATATAGATATATAACGCAAAGAAATGTTTAATCAATGATTATGGTAAATCTAAAAGCAAATCAAAACAGAAGAGAAAGAGACAAAAAAAAATTGTCAGTCAAATATGTTATTGGCACAAATCGCGCGAGTGATGCTGTCTTTGTTGCAATTACAGCCATTATATTTCCAGTGTTTTGAGCTGCTGTGACTGTTCTTGGTAAGTCAGTAAATACACCCTTAGGAAAAAAGTATACTTAATTAAAGGTCAAGTATCAAAGTATATTTATTAAGTATACTAATATCAATGTACTAGTAGTGTACTTGAAATGTTCTTCCAGTGGACCAGAAAGATACACTGCAGTGACAAAAGCTGCACACTATAGATATAAAATAAATGCAATTTTTTATCTTACAGTTCATATAATTGTTTAGTTACTTACTGCCGTCATTAAAAAAACAAAAACAAATTAACACCATGACCCTCTGTGTTTGTGTCAGTCTGAACAGCTGCGACAGACCCCTAAACTGTAAACTTAAGGGAAACACTACAGTTAGGGTTTGGTTTATGGGTAGGGATTAGGTATAAATGACATTTTATTTTTTTTTTACAAAAATAATGTTCAAGTTTCAACATCGATTTTAATCCAGGATCACATCATATTTGACAAACTCAAAATCACACCCAGCCAGTAAAACATGTCATTGTGGGAAAATATGACAGATCAAATTTACATGTAAAATAGCTGAAGAAATATGTCATATAATCAAATTAGTTTCCTACCAATATCAAAAGCAAATCTACACTCTCGGTTGACACCAATAAAATGAGCTCAATGAGGGAATTTACACCTCAGCATAATGAATGAGGTGAAAACAGAAACTACTGATATGAGCTAAAGAGGATTTCAGCAGCTCCGATTATATTGATGAGCTTCAGATTATAAAGACTCATTAAACAAGCCATTCAGGATCAACAGCAGATCAGCTCAACTTTATAAAATGAAAATCAAAGACAACTGAGATTCAGACCCTAATCTACACCCTACAGATATCCATGCACATAATTCTTATGTAATATAAATTTAATCAATGCAAGTGTAACCAGTCAACTTTTACTTAAGCAAAGAAGACACCAAGTACAAGTACTGCAAAATACAAGTTACATTAGTATAAAATGGCGATTTGCTAACCTGCTTTTAGCACCAATACTAAACTCTGAGACCTGAAAATTCCTACAAAAATTACATTAGCGGCGAAACAAAACAAAATCACGCAACAAAGCTTTCATAAACATCACAAACATTAAAACTTACAACATAAACAATTAGCTTTTCCAGAAGAAAAAGAAATGTTTTCAGCAGCATTTCTCCACACAACTTACCCTCAGCGATGCACAGCAGCAATGAGACGGAGCGAGGAGAGGAAGCGAAGAGGTACGGAAACCCGGGAGGTACAAAAACGACGATGTGTATTATATTATCACAGGACACAAATAAAAATAACCGCTAAATAAAATTCACAAATAATGAACAAAATAATTAAATAAAAGTTGCAAATTCTAAAAATATTAGCTATTTAACAGAGTGCATTACTTCTTTTACACAAAGATAAAAATTGAGTATTTGTGAAGAAAAAATGTTGTTTTTTGTGTTTAGGTTTTCAAAGATAATCTCAGCCTACTTCAGTATAAAATTAACTTTGTCATGGTTTCAGTGTTTATAGTGGGAAACTGCACTGGTTTTACATAAACTTTGATGAAATGTCTCCAACACACAAGTCTGTATTTTATCTTTTAAGTTTTAAAAGCAAATAGTTTATAATGTTTTAATGATTTTTGTGAGCTTTAGATCGCCCGTTTCAGTTACAGTTTTCTTTCAGGAGTTTGATATTTCTCGTTCTCAAAATATTAATGCTGTTTACAATATATTTACAAATCTACTCTATATTTTTCCTGCTGCTTCATGCACTGATCAGTACTTTTCAGACGTTTATGAAAGTAGGTAAATTTGTGCCACCAAACGGTGACGGAACAAACAAGCGAAATCAAGATTTACCTCTAACAGCTGATGTATTGTTTATGTAATGCTGTTCTGATGTTTATTTGTGTAAATGCTGCGTGATTTTGATGCGCGCGCTGAGTCTCATTCAAATGCGGGAGTTGCCATGGAAACGGGGCAACAACACTCTGTCAGGCAGCAAAACTCCGTCTCTCGCTACTGTTTTCTCGGCTTTCAGGTAAGTTCAGAGCATAAAATCATTAAAATATATTATAAAATGTTTTGTGACTTAATCTTTCTTATTTATTTATTGTAATTTAACACGTTTCTGTTGCATATTTACTTCATTTTAGTGCCTTTGGGAAAAGTCCGTTATTATCTTCTCAACTGTTTTCAGAAGGTACGTAGCGCTAGGCTAATTATATAGCTCTTGTTTATAAAGGTTTTGGCTATTTATTCACAACTTTATATGTAGAAGAGAGGTTTTAATAGCTCTGTGAAGGCTGTGCTTGCAAGTAGTCAATGTTTTATTGAAAGTAGTCTAATTTATTTAGCCTAAAGTATGCGCAACCACTGTTAATCAGTGATATCAAGGAGCTAACATTCAGATAAAAGGGGGATGTCATTCTAAACTACAAAATGTGTTGTAAAATTTTTGTATATTCACAATAGACATATGAAATTCAAAATATCATTATAATGAACAGGCATATTGATATCTTGTGCAGTTTAAAATACGGTGAATATTATTATTTAAACTTTTACACTGCTTTTTCAGAATATACACTTTGAATTTGCAGTGGTTTAATAACAGTCTAAAATGCTTGGAGGTTTAGGTTACCTTAGTAATTTAAACATGACCAAATTTTCATATTCTAGACTTGTTTATTTTTAATATAATTATACAACTGTATACAATGTGATGTGGTTAATTTTTTTTTAGTTAGATGCAACTGGTGTAAAAAGTCTAGAGCCCTGATAAAGAATTATAGTTGTACTCTTTTTATGAGTCATGCTATTGCTTATTTAAAAAATATTTTCTTTGAATTAAAAGGTAAGGCATTCATTTTCATTCATGGAAACAATTAAATAATAGGGCAAATCTAACTCTACTCCAGTGTAGCAAATGCAATTTACTTACAGACACAGCGTAATATGATTTAGAAACTGCAATCAACTCCTTATTGCTGATGAAAATGAACACATTTAATGCAAAAAAATCAATTTTTCCACTGATTATTTAAACCAGCAGGAACAAATAGTTTCTTGTGTTTTGATGAACACGACACAGTTTGAATTGTGAATAAATGAAGAATAATTGACAGGCAGAGCAAAGGGAAGTGCTGAGGTGAACATGAATTTAACCATGTGAATATTCATCTGTTCTTTACATTGAACGACTTCAGAACATTTGAGATATAGTAGATCTACATAAAAAAACTTTCTGTTGCCTTATAATAGGCTGCCTTCATGGCTTATAAACACAGAATATCGATACCCAATCCAGCAAAAATGTGTGTTAACGAACAGATATCTGATCAAAATATTTTGATCAGTGCATCCCTATATGAAGGGGCAGAAAACAGTCAGTGGAGATTAAGAATAGATACTCAGATAATGTCAGCTATTAATTGTGTGCCTCAGGGGTCAGTGCCATCATTTATATTTTACCTTTAGGTCATACATTTCATTATTATAGTCTTCATTTCCATTTTGTGCTGATGATACACAATTTTAAATTTCCATAAGACCTAGAATTAAATTTTTTTATCATATTGGTCATTCATAACTTTGTTCAAGTTAAATGAACAAAAGCCCACCACTGGGTGTGTTTTATCTAAAGCTCAGTCTTTTACTCTGTTCACTGATAATTCCCATGTTAATTTCTCTACTTTTCACACTCAATCTCTCACACCAGAATTATCTGATGTTCAGACATGAAACACCTTTTCACTGGAGAGAATGTTTTGCTGCATTGGCGTCATTTGTGCAGCTTTTCTCCAGTGTGGATGTTCATGTGTTTCTTAAGCCTCTCTAAGTATGTGAAACTCTGAGAACACTGATCACATGTGTACGGCTTCTCTCCAGTGTGAATCCTCTCATGTCTTTTCAGGGTTCCTAAAAGACTAAACCTCTTGCTACACTGTGAACACTTGTACAGTTTCTCTCCAGTGTGAACCTTCTCATGCGATTTTAGGCATCCTAACAGACTAAATCTCTTGTCACAGTGTGAACACTTGAAAGGTTTCTCTCCAGTGTGAATCCTGTCGTGCAGTTTCAGTTGTGTAGCTGTAATATAAGTCTTCTTACACTTAAAGCACATATACTGTCTCACAGCAGTGTGGGACTTCTGATGCCTTTTTAATTTGGACTCCACTGTATAACTCTTTTCACACACAGGACATGAATAAGGCTTCTCGCTTCTATGAATTGAAAGATGCATCTTCAGCTGTGAAGCACTTAAAAATGTTTTGCTGCATTGATCACATTTGTGTTTTTTCTCTCCGGTGTGGATCCTCTTGTGTTGATGAAGGTGTGATAATTGGCTGAAACTCTTCCCACACTGAGTACATGTGAACGGTTTCTCTCCGGTGTGGATCCTCATGTGTTGATTAAGGGATGATGGTTCAGAGAAACTCGTCCCACACTGAGTACATGTGTGTGGTTTCTCTCCAGTGTGGGTCCTCATGTGTCTATTGCGGTGTGATGAGTGGCTAAAACTCTTCCCACACTGAGAACATGCATATGGTTTCTCTCCAGTGTGGATCATCTTGTGTTTAGTAAAGTTTGATATGTATCTGAAACTCTTCCCACACTGAGGACATGTGAATGGTTTCTCTCCAGTGTGGACCCTCATGTGCTGATTAAGGGATGATGATAGCCTGAAACTCTTCCCACACTGAGAACATATGAAAGGTTTCGCTCCAGCGTGAATCATCATGTGTTTATTAAAGGTCGATACGTGTTTGAAACTCTTCCCACACTGAGTACAGGTGAATGGTTTCTCGTCAGTGTGGATCATCATGTGTTTATTAAGTTGTGAAGAGTCTCTGAAACTCTTACCACACTGAGTACAGGTGAATGGTCTCTCTCCAGTGTGGATCATCATGTGTTTATTTAAGTTTGATGTGTATTGGAAACTCTTCCCACACTGAGTACATGTGAATGGTCTCTCTCCAGTGTGGATCCTCATGTGTTGATTAAGGTGTGATTTGTGTTTGAAAGTCTTTCCACACAGTTTACATGTGAATGGTCTCTCTCCGGTGTGGACCCTCATGTGTACATTAAGCTCTGAGGAGTGTCCAAAACTCTTTTCACACTGAGTGCATGTGAATGGTCTCTCTCCGGTGTGGATCTTCAAGTGTAAATTAAGGCTTGATGAATATTGGAAACTCTTTCCACACTGAGTACACTTAAATGGTCTCTCTCCGGTGTGGATCCTCATGTGTTGATTAAGTTGTGATAAGTATTGGAAACTTTTTCCACACTGAGTACACTTAAATGGTTTCTCTCCGGTGTGGATCCTCATGTGAAGCTTAAGACTCTTTTTGGTTCTAAAGCTCTTTCCACACTGAGTGCAGGTCAAACGATTCTTGTCTCTCCTTTTCAAAACACCAGAAGTCTGTAAATTAGGGTTTTTCCCAGCTTCAACATGACGTTCCTCCTCTTCACTCTCCTTATTCTCCCCAAATGGGTCTGAAACAAAGTTTCTTTTATAGTAAGTCAATAAAAAACAAATGTAGGATGAAAATTTGAAGTGTAAAGACTCTGTAAACACTGGCTACAAAAACATTAACTTTGATGCACATAAATGTAAAATACATCAGATCGTGTTTAGTTTGGTCTTGTCATGAAATAACAAAACATGGAAATAAAAGACGACTAAGATGCAGTCCCCGTTTGTACCCTGTTAAAAATATACAGTACCAGTCAAAATAACTGCTGTCTTATTGTATGTAGTTTCAAATGAAATGATTACTCCAGTCATTGCATTATTACTATTACCATTAATAATAATAACTAATATTAAGACTGATTTATGAAGGATCATGCGATTCTGAAGACTTATAAACTACTTTTGAACAGTTATTCTATTGACCTTATTCTTCAATGCTGAAGTGCGCTCGTTTTTGCGATTGTTTTAGAACTTTCGATTCAGCTGCGTATGGGAGAAATGACTAGGAATAATAAACGGCAGAAAACGGTCAAACTGCTAGCTCTACAAACAAGTGTTTGCATGACTATACAGACAAAGTAGATTCATATTATAAGAAAATATCAGTTTGCAACACCAAGCAGCAAAAAGTGTCTAAAAATGAATGGAATTGAAGGAGACCGGAAGACTCGAGCCAAAATGATTCAAATGGCTGCGCCCACTCATACTCGGAGAATAAGGTGAATAGTGCAATGACATTTCACAATTTGTTCTGTATTTTTTGATTGAATAAATGCAGCCTTGGTGAGCTGGAAAAGCTTACTTTAAGACATTTAAAAATCCTAGTTACAGCAAACTTAGTGTTAGGGCTGCTCGATTATGGGAAAAATCATAATCAGTATTATTTTGGTCATAATTGTAATCACGATTATTCAAAACGATTATCAGTTGAAGTCAAAATTATTCGTCCTTCTGTGAATTTATTTTTATATATAAATATTTCCCAATTGATGTTTAACAGAGGGTTTTTTTACAGTATTTCCTATAACATTTTTTTCTTCTGGAGAAAGGCTTATTTGTTTTGTTTCAGCTAGAATAAAAGCAGGTTTGAATATTTTAAAAACCTATTTTAATAGCTCGATATTATTAGCCCCTTTAAGCAATATATGTTTGATTGTCTGCTGAAGAAACTACTGTTATACAATGGCTTGTCTATTTACCCTAATTAAGCCTCTGAATGTCACTGTAAGTTGAATATCTTGAAAAACATGTAGTAAAATATAATGTGCTGTCATCATAGCAAAGATAAAAGAAATCAGTTATAAGAAATGAGTTATTAAATCTGTTTTGTTTAAGCTGTGCTTTAAGCATCTTCACTGTATTTTTGTATTTATTGATTAATAATAAAAACAGTCGGCAGCAGCAGGAATACCGGACGCTGTCACTTTAAGAATAGTGCGGCTCTGATATGGTTTCTCTTTCTCGTGTCTTTTGATTCTCAACTTGTTTGTTTATTACACAAATGAGGGTTAATAAGAATAATCACTAAACACCGCGCTCTGACACAAATGTGCATGTATTTGACCACTAAAGCGCTAACATTAAGATCGCGTTAGATGTGTGTGTGCGCTCTGCTGTCCGAGGCTAAGCGCGGCGTTCGCGCAAACACACACACGCTACCTGTCCGAGGTTAAGCCTCACACACACACAACAGCATGTGCTCTTTTGCGCTTTTAAAAATATAAATGATGCGCATCCCGTGCTGCAAAAGTTACATTACAGCACATGCTTTTAGTCATTTTCACGTGGAACTGAGCTTTGCAGAGGCAGAGTTTTCACACGTGTACAACTGGAAAAGGGGCGGTACGTGATGGAATAATCGTTTGTCTCGATTAATGTTTTTCCATAATCATTAAAAGCCAAAATCGAAATCGGATTTTCGATTAATTGCACAGCCCTACTTAGTGTTTGTTATAGTATGGTCAGATGAATTGTTCAAAGCTTTTCATTTACAGGTTTATTAATGAAGAAACAGGAACAACTGCCAACCTGTTTGTTGTTCAGTATCTTCATGTGTAGTTTTGCAGGGGTCCGGATTACTCATGTTCTCACGGTCCTTCAATAAACTCTTCTCTTTGCAGATTTCACTTCTTGTTGATTTTCTAGTGCTCATCTTCACTAGTGGGCTGATCGGAAAATTCCAGTATTTACACCCAAAGGAGGAAGAGCTTCGAAATGAAGGATCTGCCAAGATTAAAAATAATCAAAATGTAATGTAAGCCTTTTCAAGGTAGAGTTCAAGGATCAAATATTAAACCTAAAATATTGACAGATAACATTAGCAAAATGGTAATCAAAATATAGATATATAATGCAAAGAAATGTTTAATCAATGATTATGGTAAATCTAGAAGCAAATCATAACAGAAGAGAAAGAGACAAAAAATTTGTCAGTCAAATATGTTATTGGCACAAATCGCGCAAATGATGCTGTCTTTGTTGCAATTACAGCCATTATATTTCCAGTGTTTTGAGCTGCTGTGACTGTTCTTGGTAAGTCAGTAAATACACCCTTAGGAAAGAAGTATACTTAATTAAAGGTCAAGTATCAAAGTATATTTAGTAAGTATACTAATATCAATGTACTAGTAGTGTACTTGAAATGTTCTTCCAGTGGACCAGAAAGATACACTGCAGTGACAAAAGCTGCACACTATAGATATAAAATAAATGCAATTTTTTATCTTACAGTTCATATAATTGTTCAGTTATATACTGCCGTCAACAAGTTAACACCATGACCCTCTGTGTTTATGTCAGTCTGAACAGCTGCGACAGACCCCCAAACTGTAAACTTACGGACACACTACAGTTAGGGTTTGGTTTATGGGTAGGGATTAGGTATAAATGACTTTTTTTTTTATTTTTATTTTTTACAAAAATGATGTTCAAGTTTCAACATCGATTTTAATCCAGGATCACATCATATTTGACAAACTCAAAATCACACCCAGCCGGTAAAACATGTCATTGTGGGAAAACATGACAGATCAAATTAACATGTAAAATAGCTGAAGAAATATGTCATATAATCAAATTAGTTTCCCACCAATATCAAAAGCAAATCTACACTCTCGGTTGACACCAATAAAATGAGCTCAATGAGGGAATTTACACCTCAGCATAATGAATGAGGTGAAAACAAAAACTACTGATATGAGCTAAAGAGGATTTCAGCAGCTCCAATTATATTGATGAGCTTCAGACTAGAGTCTCATTAAACAAGCCATTCAGGATCAACAGCAGATCAGCTCAACCTTATAAAATGAAAATCAAAGACAACTGAGATTCAGACCCTAATCTACACCCTACAAATATCCATCCACATAATTCTTATGTAATATAAATTTAATCAATGCAAGTGTAACCAGTCAACTTATACTTAAGCAAAGAAGACACCAAGTACAAGTACTGCAAAATACAAGTTACATTAGTATAAAATGGCGATTTGCTAACCTGCTTTTAGCACCAATACTAAACTCTGAGACCTGAAAATTCCTACAAAAATTACATTAGCGGCGAAACAAAACAAAACCACGCAATAAAGCTTTCATAAACATCACAAACATTAAAACTTACAACATAAACAATTCGCTTTCCCAGAAGAAAAGGAAATGTTTTCAGCAACATTTCTCCACACAACTTACCCTCAGCGATGCACAGCAGCAATGTCTTGTGCGGGAGGCGGGAAGAGAAGAGGTACGGAAACTCGGGAGGTACAAAAACGACGATGTGTATTATATTATCACAGGACACAAATAAAAATAACCGCTTAACAAAATTCACAAATAATGAACAAAATAATTAAATAAAAGTTGCAAATTGTAAAAATAATAGCTATTTAACAGAGTGCATTAACTCTGTTACACAAACATAAAAATTTAGTATTTGTGAAGAAAAATGTTGTTTTTTGTGTTTAGGTTTTCAAAGATAATCTCAGCCTACTTCAGTATAATATTAACTTTGTCATGGTTTCAGTGTTTATAGGGGGATCTGCACTGGTTTTACATAAACTGATGAAATGTCTCCAACACACAAGTCTGTATTTTATCTTTTAAGTTTTAAAAGCAAATGGATTTATAATGTTTTAATGATTTTTGTGAGCTTTAGATCGCCCGTTTCAGTTAGATTTCTTTCAGGAGTTTGCTGTTTCTCGTTCTCAAAATATTAATGCTGTTAACAATATATTTACAAATCTACTCTATATTTTTCCTGCTGCTTTATGCACTAATCAGTACTTTTCAGACGTTTATGAAAGTAGGTAAATTTGTGTGCACCCATGGGTGACGGAACAAACAATTGAAATCAAGATGTAACTTTAACAGCGGATTTATTGTTTATGTGATGCTGTTCTGATGTTTATTTGAGTAAATGCTGCGGGATTTTGAAGTGTTTAACGGATGCGCGTGCGGAGTCCCATTCAAATGCAGGAGTTGCCATGGAAACGGGGCACCAGCACTCACTCTGTCAGACGGCAAAACTCCGTCTCTCGCTGCTGTTTTTACGGCTTTCAGGTAAGTTCATAAATTTCTAAAATCATAGAAATATAACATAACATGTTTTGTCACTTGATCTCTCTTATTTATTGTATTTAGCACGTTTCTGTTGCATATTTACTTTATTTTAATGCCTTTGGAAAAGTCCGTTAGCATCTTCTCAACTGTTTTTGGGCAAGGTACGTAGCGTTAGGCTAACTCCAAAGAGCTCTTGTTTATAAAGGTTTTGGCTTTTCATTCACATCTTTATATGTAGAAGAGAGGTTTTAATAGCTTTATAAAGGCTGTCCTTGTAAGTAGTCGATGTTTAATTGAAAGCAGTCTAATTAATTTAGCCTAAAAATACGTGCAGCCACTGTTAATCAGTGATATCAAGGAGCTAACATTCAGATAAGAGGAGGATGTCATTCTAAACTACAAAATGTGTTGTAATATTTATGTATATAGACAATAGACATGAAATTCGATATATCACTATAATGAACAGGCATATTGATATCTTGGGCACTTTAAAATACTGTAAATCAGTGGTTCTTCAACTGGTACGTGTGCAAAAAAAATTTTCACAAATGATTTATATATAAATATAATGACTACATTTATGAGGTCCAAGCAACGTATGCAGGTTTTGATGAATAGTTGACTATATGTTCATACATTACATTTAAGTCCAGGAGTTTTTTTTCTTCAGACAATAGACTTCCATTTTAATTTAACTTTTAAATGCACATTTTAATTAAAACGTTGACATTTATTTATTTATTTTTTCGAACATACCTAATTTTTATATTCTAGACTTTTTTTTATCTTTAATGTAATTATAAAATTGTATACAATGTGATGCAGTTAAAATTTGGGTGCACCTAAAAAAAAAAGTTGGGTGCAACTGGTGCAAAAAGTCCAGAGCCCTGATAAAAAATTATAGTTGTACTCTATTTGTGAGTTATGCTGTTGCTTACTTTAAAATATTTTCTTTGAATTGAAGGTATATCAACTAATCAATGCAAATACTTAAAAAAACAATACTGCAAGAAACAAACAACCCACTAATTGATTGAAGAAAATAGTGTTTTACATTTGTGTTTCACATTACTAAAGATAATCTCACTTTAGGCTAATATTAACCTAGTCACGGTTTGTGTTTATAGTGGACACTTGGTTTAATGGAAACTTTCAAGGAGTATGTCCCAATATACAAAACACTGGCTTTAATTGCTAAGTTTTAAAAGTGAATAGAATTATTATGTTTTATAATATTATAATGTTTTGATAACACAGCAGCATGAGATTATGTAGGCATCAAGTTGTTTTTGGGGGGTCGTTAATCAAGTCACAAAAATTGGTCTTTGTTTTGCATGTTTGATTTGGTCCAAATATAGCCCAAAATTTATGTAGAAATATTTTTTGTTTGTTCAATTTGGTCCAAATGTAGTCCAAGCATGTATATTAATGGCGACTATACTATAACATTATATTAAAATGATTTTAGATGCATTGCATAAAACATCAAATAAAGCTGAGGCATCATACATTATAAAAACATTGCTGTTTAGCGTGCCAGCTTTCAGTGGATGAGCTATGCTTGCGGTCCAACATCACTGTTGAACTTTTGAATATCCGATCTACATCCACCAACACTGGATGGGTTTTGGAAATTTGGTCCTTTTGGTCTACTAACCCAAGATTGTCTAAAAATGCTGATGTTGATCATGATGTGTAACCTGTGATGACTGAATGTCTCGTAAAATGTGCATCAATTGACCAGTAAGCCCAGAAGTTTAGATTTCTACCAAAGAGAGAGATGATGCGACAACTGTGAAAGCCAGGAGGGAGGTAAGAAGAAAATATTGTAATAACCACATAAATAAGAATAATGAAAACAAATTCTCAGTGTACTATAGATGTAGAATGACCTAATATTTGCTTATATTCACGTCTAACATAATTTTTTTCCCTTTACAGAACTTTTATGGCAATGCCACTGGTAAGGTAAGTTCTGGTAAGGTCTTGCATCAATTCAGTCTCATCCATTATTACAGCTATAGTAATCGCTCTAATATTCAAATAGGCTGGTGCTGATCCTGATGACCATATCATTATTGGCAATCTTCATTTTATTTCAAAACAACTTGAAAGAACAAAAGCAGCTCCACTTGATTCATAGATGTATCGACATTTATGAGCACTTTCAGTCAGGCGTTTTCGACAAAAACAGTACAGAAACAGCATTTGTTAAGATTGTAAATGATCTTTTCCTAGTGGTTGATTCTGGTCTTTTGTCCATTCTTCTTATAGATATTAGTGCTGCTTTTGATAGTATTAGTCATTCAGTATTATTAGGACGATTGGCTTGTATAAGAATAGCTGATTATGTGTTTTACTGGTTCTCATCTTAGTCAAGTAGGGATGTACAGATACCTTTTTTAGAACTATCCGATCTAGATACCAACATTCTGAGTATCGATCGATACAGATTCGATCCAGTGCCATTTTTTAAGCATAATACAGTGTCTATAGCTCTGGTGCTAAACTCAAATAATCGTATCTTCTTTAGTAAAAAATAACCACCTATAAGCCTGCTGTATATGACTGACAGCACAATCTAACTAAAAACTTGTGCTTGCTGAAAACTAGGCTACATTATTTAAGCATTCATTATGACATTGATCTGTTCTGGTTCAGCGTATGTGTCTTTTCTTTAATATTAAGGGTGCTTTCACACCTGTGAATCAATTAATTTGTTCCGAAACAGGGATTAAAAATGTTACATTGTTACGGACCAAAATAGCTAAAACAAGTCACGTGTGAGTAAACTCTCCTCATATTGGTCAGAGTTTCAGGGTTTATTTTGCTAGGTCCTGCTCAACTGTCAGGGGGAGGTGGTGGTTTGGTGGTGTTTGACAGGGTGCACGCGAAGTGTCTGGAGAGCGAGCAGGCCTGCTGTGGGGAGGGGTGAGAAGGGTGCACGATGTATTTGAAGACGCGCGATTACCGGGAGATTATCACTCGTTTGCGGGATTCCTGGAGACTCTGCATTTGCGAGAGACTGCCGGGAGACTTGGGATGTCTGGAATGACCTCCAGCCCTACTCATAATTCTCTCTTCATATAGCCGTATGCCTATTACACATCCACAAAACACTGTGATATAACCGGGCTCGGATCGTATCGTTTTCTCACTACAATTGATCCGCTCCAGAATTTGTTTCAATTGAGCCGAGACCACCTCATTCAGGCGATCTTGGAGCGGTTGTTTTGGAGTGGATCCGAGCATGATTGCTGGTTTCACATATGCCAAACAAACTGCGCAAACGAGACAGGTTTAGAAACAGAAGTCTAGGTGTGAAAGCACCCTAAGATTTTTTTCTTGAAATCTGCAATAGGCTACCAATATTGACAGTAATCGTTTTATCAAACCTGATATTTTCCTGCAGGTTTGACGCAGACTTAATAAAACCTAGCCATGAGACAGAGGAAGTTCAAAACAAGGTCTGCTTATATGCCAAAACACCGCTTCAGCGCTAAAACACAAACTGCTGGTCTGTTAAATAAAATATTGCCAAAAATAGAATTACAGTAAATATTGGCAGTTTCAGAGTAGCCTATATTAGGCAGAATATATTTTTGGTAATGACAATCCACATTGTGCCCTTCAGTTTTATTTTATTAATTGAAAGAACTACTTTGACCACAATGAGCCAGGCTTTACAAACTATTCGCAGCACTGAAAGTATTCCCCTCAAAAAAATAAACCCAGTCTGAAAAATTAGAAAACCGAAAGGGGAATAAATCAGTGCGTTGAAGATCTGTCCAATGTATTATTGAGCATTTTCTAATTTAAAGCCTACTTTGTGTGTGAAAAGCAGGTAATAACCCTCTCTACTACAGGCTTGCGAATGCAATTTACTAACAAACACAGCGCAACATGATGTAGAAACAGCAATGAACTCCTTGTTGCAGGCCTTGTTGCGGAGGGAAGCACTGAGGTGAACATGAATTTAACCATGTGAATATTCATCTCAATATTCATTCACATTGAACTATCGAATGGCTTCAGGACATTTTTAACGAACCGATATCTGATCAAATTATCAAAATCGGTGCATCCCTGTATGAAGTGACAGAAAACAGTCAGTGGAGATTAAGAATAAATACTCAGATAATGTCAGCTATTAATTGAGTGCCTCAGGGGTCAGTGCCATCATTTATATTTTACCTTTAGGTCATACATTTCATTATTATAGTCTTCATTTACATTTTGTGCTGATGATACACAATTTTATATTTCCATAAGACCTAGAATTAAATTTTTTTATCATATTGGTCATTCATAACTTTTTTCCAAGTTAAATGAACAGAAGCCCACCTCTAGGTCTGTTTTGTCTAAAGCTCAGTCTTTTACTCTGTTCACTGATAATTCCCAAGTCAATTTCTGTACTTTCCACACTCAATCTCTCACACAAGAATTATCTGATGTTTAGACATGAAACACCTTTTCCCTGGAGAGAACGTTTTGCTGCATTGGCTTCATTTGTGCAGCTTTTCTCCAGTGTGGATGTTCATGTGTTTCTTAAGCCTCTCTAAGTATGTGAAACTCTGAGAACACTGATCACATGTGTACGGCTTCTCTCCAGTGTGAATCCTCTCATGTCTTTTTAGGGTTCCTAAATGACTAAACCTCTTGCTACACTGTGAACACTTGTACAGTTTCTCTCCAGTGTGAACCTTCTCATGCGATTTTAGGGATCCTAACAGACTAAATCTCTTGTCACAGTGTGAACACTTGAAAGGTTTCTCTCCAGTGTGATTCCTCTCATGCAGTTTCAGTTGTGTAGCTGTAATATAAGTCTTCTTACACTTAAAGCACATATACTGTCTAACAGCAGTGTGGGACTTCTGATGCCTTTTTAATTTGGACTCCAATGTATAACTCTTTTCACACACAGGACATGAATAAGGCTTCTCGCTTCTATGAAGTGCAAGATGGACCTTCAGCTTTGAAGGCCTCAAAAATGTTTTGCTGCAGTGATCACATTTGTGTGGTTTCTCTCCGGTGTGGATCTTCATGTGCTGAGTAAGGCGTGATGATAGGCTGAAACTCTTCCCACACTGAGAACATGTGAACGGTTTCTCTCCGGTGTGGATCATCATGTGTTGATTAAGGGATGATGGTTCAGAGAAACTCGTCCCACACTGAGTACATGTGTGTGGTTTCTCTCCAGTGTGGGTCCTCATGTGTCTATTACGGTGTGATGAGTGGCTAAAACTCTTCCCACACTGAGAACATGCATATGGTTTCTCTCCAGTGTGGATCATCTTGTGTTTACTAAAGTTTGACAAGTGTCTGAAACTCTTCCCACACTGAGGACATGTGAATGGTTTCTCTCCGGTGTGGATCCTCATGTGCTGTTTAAGGGATGATTGTTGGCTGAAACTGGCCCCACACTGAGAACATATGAATGGTTTTGCTCCAGTGTGAATCATCATGTGTTGATTAAGCTGTGATGATTGGCTGAAACTCTTCCCACACTGAGTACATGTGAATGGCTTCTCTCCGGTGTGGATCCTCATGTGTTGTTTAAGTTGTGATGAGTCTCTGAAATTCTTCCCACACTGAGTACATGTGAATGGTTTCTCATCAGTGTGGATCGTCATGTGTTTATTAAAGGTTGATGAGTCTCTAAAGCTCTTCCCACACTGAGTACACGAGAATGGTCTTTCTCCAGTGTGGATCCTCATGTGTTGATTAAGGTGTGATTTGTGTTTGAAAGTCTTTCCACACAGTTTACATGTGAATGGTCTCTCTCCGGTGTGGACCCTCATGTGTACATTAAGGTCTGATGAGTGTAAAAAAACTCTTTCCACACCGAGTGCATGTGAAGGGTTTCTCTCCGGTGTGGATCCTCATGTGTTGATTAAGTTGTGATAAGTATTGGAAACTCTTTCCACACTGAGTACACTTGAATGGTTTCTCTCCGGTGTGGATCCTCATGTGAAGCTTAAGACTCTTTTTGGTTCTAAAGCTCTTTCCACACTGAGTGCAGGTCAAACGATTCTTGTCTCTCCTTTTTAAAACACCAGAAGTCTGTAAATTAGGGTTTTTCCCAGCTTCAACATGACGTTCCTCCTCTTCACTCTCCTTATTCTCCCCAAATGGGTCTGAAACAAAGTTTATTTTTTAGTAAGTCAATAAAAAATAAATGTAGGATGAAAATTTGAAGTGTAAAGACTCTGTAAACACTGGCTACAAAAACATTAACTTTGATGCACATAAATGTAATTTGTATTTAGTTTGGTCTTGTCGTATTAAATGTTTAACAAAACATGGAAATAAAAGACGACGGTAAGATGTAGGGTCAGTCAAAATAACTGCTGTCTTATTGCATGTAGTTTCAAATGAAATGATTACTCTAGTTGTTGCATTATTACTATTACCATCAATAATAATAACTAATATTAAGAGTGATTTATGAAGGATCATGCGACTCTGAAGACTTATAAACTACTTTTGAACAGTTATTTTATTGACTTTATTCTTCAATGCTGAAGTGCGCTCGTTTTTGCGATTGTTTTAGAACTTTCAATTCAGCTGCGTATGGGAGAAATGACTAGGAATAATAAACGGCAGAAAATGGTCAAACTGCTAGCTCTACAAACAAGTGTTTGCATGACTATACAGACAAAGTAGATTAATATTATAAGAAAATATCAGTTTGCAACACCAAGCAGCAAAAAGTGTCTAAAATTGAATGGAAGTGAAGGAGACCGAAGACTCGAGCCAAAATGATTCAAATGGCTGTGCCCACTCATAGACGGAGAATAAGGTGAATAGTGCAATGACATTTCACAATTTTACAGTTTGTACTGTATTTTTATTAAATAAATGCAGCCTTGGTGTGCAGGAGAAGCTTATTTTAAAACATTTAAAAATCCTAGTTACCCCAAACTTTTGACCGGTAGTGTATGTTATAGTATGATTAGGATAAATTGTTCAAAGCTTTTTATTTATATGATTTTTAATAAAGAATCAGGAATAATACACCAACCTGTTTGTTGTTCAGTATCTTCATGTGTAGTTCTGCAGGGTTCTGGATCACTCATGTTCTCACGGTCCTTCAATAAACTCTTGTCTTTGCAGATTTCTCTTCTTGATGATGTTCTGGTGATCATCTTCACTCACTAACCGAAGGAGGAGGAGCAGATCTGCCAATATTAAAAAAATAGTCAAAATGTAATTCATGCCTTTTCAAAAAACAATACATGTGAATATATTAGATTATTTACAAGATTGTCAATTCTTTTAAACATGCAACCTCAGGATAGTTTAGCTATTGTGGTATTTTAAACCTTGTTTCCTCTGCTGTAAATACTAACAGTAAACATGGTCAGTGTGATTTCACTATGTACGACATGTTTCTGGATCAGCATCATGGTAAAATGAACTATTTTCCAATCAGCCAATCAGAATTAAGGTATACATTTACAGTTCATGTTAAGTTTAGGCTTGTGATTGTTATCCAACCATTATTCTATTCTGATTTTGGGAATAATATACAGCAGTGTTTCCCCTACCATTAAATTAGTGGGGCGCCCAGCCTGCCCAACAGTGGATGCACCCCCGGCACAGTAGCTAAAATATATACAGATGCAGTGGGACCTCTGCCAAGTGCAGCCATTGTATTCCCTATCTAGGGTCTCATCCAACCTTTTAATCTTTCCCTGAAGCTTCATGAGTCTGCCGCGAACTTTTACCAGACCCATGATCCCCAAAAGTGAGTTAAAATACCCAGAAATCATGGCGACAAGAGTGAATGCACAAGAGAACTGACCGTGAGAGGAACAGTGATGGTCTAAGCATTACACTTGATAGGTAAAATGTTAAATGAATAGAGCAGTGAAGATATCGTGAGTGCAAATTTAGAGATCTGCAAAATTATGTTATACTAAAATAATGTTCACACCTAAATGGTTATAAGAGATGTGTTTCTAGTATTAAATGCAGCATCCTTTATTTATTCCCTTAGGTAAGGCAAGTTCTCTTAAGATTTATATTTAGAGGGAAAATGTGCTTAATGCATTATAAAGCAGTAGAATCGGTGCTCAATATCAACAGATCACCATGACAAGGAATCAGTACTCAGTATCAGCAGCAAAAATCCTGATCGGAGCATCCCTAGCTTTGACCCAACCTGGCTGTCGAGCAGCAATACTCCCCCTGGCTGAACAAGACTGGTCTTGGTAAGTCAGTAAATACACCCTTAGGAAAAAGAAGTATACTTAAGTAAAGGTCAAGTATAAAAGCATACTTTATTTAGTAAGTATACTAATATCAATGTAGTATTAGTGTACTTGACAGAAAACCAGAAAGATACACTGCAGTGACAAAAGCTGCACATTTGACGGATAAAAAAAAAATGTTAATTTTTAGTTTACAATTAAAACAATTGTTCAGTTGTTTACTGCCGTCATTAAAAGAAACAACACCATGACCCTCTGTTTGTGTCAGTGTCAGTCTAAACAGCCGAGTCAAGTCCCCAAACTAAACCTAGGGGAAACACTACAGTTAGGGTTTGGTTTATGGGCAGGGATTCGGTATAAATTCAATTTTTAAACAAAAATCATGTTCAAGTTTCAGCATCGATTTTAATCCAGGATCACATCATATTTGGCAAACTCAAAATCACACCCAGTCGGTAAAACATGTCATTGTGGGGAAACATGACATACATGAAATTTACATGTAAAATAGCTGAAGAAATATGTCATATCAAATTAGTTTCCCACCAATATCAAAAGCAAATCTACACTCTCGGTTGACACCAATAAAATGAGCTCAATGAGGGAATTTACACCTCAGCATAATGAATGAGGTGAAAACAGAAACTACTGATATGAGCTAAAGAGGATTTCAGCAGCTCCGATTATATTGATGAGCTTCAGACTATAAAGACAACAAATTTCAGACGCTAATCTACAACCTATATATCCATTCACATAATTCTTATATAATGTAAATACAATCAATGCAAGTGTAATTAGTCTACTTTTACTTGAGCAAAGAAGATACCAAGTACAAGTACTGCAAAATACAAGTTACATTAGTATAAAATGGCGATTTGCTAACCTGCTTTTAGCACCAATACTAAACTCTGAGACCTGAAAATTCCTACAAAAATTACATTAGCGGCGAAACAAAACAAAATCACGCAACAAAGCTTTCATAAACATCACAAACATCCAAACTTACAACATAAACAATTAGCTTTTCCAGAAGAAAAGTAAATACTTCCAGCAGCATTTCTCACAACTCACCCTCAGCGATGCACAGCAGCAACGTGAGCGAAGAGAAGAGGTACGGAAACTCGGGAGGTACAAAAAGGGCGACGTGCATCATATTATTACAACAGGACACAAATAAAATGCTTAATAAAATTCACAAATGTTGAACAAAATAATTAAATAAAAGTAGTAAAATGTAAAAAATAACAGTTATTTAACAGAGTGCATTATCTCTGTTACACAAAGATAAAAATTGAGTATTTTAGAAGAAAAATTGTGATTTTTGTGTTTTAGTTTTCAAAGATAATCTCAGCCTACTTCAGTATAATATTAACTTTGTCATGGTTTCAGTGTTTATAGTGGGAAACTGCCCTGGTTTTACACAAGCTTTGATGAAATGTCCCCAACACACAATACTGGCTTTAATTTCTCTGCTTAAAAGCTAATAGTTTGTAATGTTTTAATGATATTTGTGACCTTTTGAACACCCATTTCAGTTTCTTTGAGGTTATTTCTCATTCTCAAAACTAATAGAAAAAAAAAACATTTTTGATATTCGTTATCAAAAAGTCTGTTACTCAACTGTTTTCAGGCAAGGTACGTATAGCTCCGTAGAGCTCTTGTTTATAAAGGTTTTGGCTTTTCATTCACATCTTTATATGTAGAAGAGAGGTTTTAATAGCTTTATAAAGGCTGTCCTTGTAAGTAGTCGATGTTTAATTGAAAGCAGTCTAATTAATTTAGCCTAAAAATACGTGCAGCCACTGTTAATAATTGATATCAAGGAGCTAACACTCTGATAAGAAGTGGATGTCATTCTAAACTACAAAATTTGTTGTAATATTTTTGTATATTCACAATAGAAATTAAATTTAATATATCATTATTATAAGCATGCATATTGAGATCTTGTGCAGTTTAAAATACTGTGAATATTAATATTTAGACTTTTAGAGTGCTTTTTAGATTATTCAATTAGTACTTGCAGTGGTTTCATAACAGTCCTAAATGCTTGGAGGTTTAGGACATCTTAATGGTTCAATCATGAACATTTTCACATGTTATTCTGGCCTACCACATACAGAATCATTCATTTAAAATTCTGATATTATTTATAAAACTATAGTACATTAACACAGGGCAGTAAGACTCCAATAGTTAACTTCAGTTCATTTAACTAAATTCGCCATGAACTTTTATTAATTTTAGCTTCTTGTAATGGATAAAGAATTATAGTCTTTATCCAATTATGAGTCATAATTATTTTATAACATGTAATTAATAATTAATGTAATTCAGTTGTTTTTTTAAGTAGTATGCGTAGTAAATCGGTATATTTTTCAACAGGGCTGCTCAATCCTGTTCCTGGAGATCTACCTTCCTGCTAGACACAGCTCTCACCCTGATCAAACACACCTGAACCAACTAATTAGGACCTGAACAGTACTTGATAATTACAAGCAGGTGTGTTTGAAATGGGTAGCAACTGAAATCTACAGGAAGGTCACTCATCATGTTCAGCCACTCATCATGTTGTTTGTGGGACCCTCCAAGAAACGCGGGGCCCTAGTTGGCCCTGTTGCTTGTTGGACGGGCCGGCACTTGTTAAGTTTCCATCCAAAAATGCTAATAAACTTTATGCGCAAAACTGGTTTATCGCATAAAAGACGTGCGAATAAAGCAGTGTTTCCATCCAACGAGTCAAAGGCCCTGTTTACACTAATGCTGCTCTGTCTCTGTGTGGATAAGGGAAAACAGAGGCTGTTTCTCAATATGCGTTCTTCAGCGGTCTTGCGTCCTCGTGTTCTCGTGAAACGTCATCATCAGCTGCCTAAGTTCAGTTCCAATACTCAAGACCGCGAGTACGGAGGACGCGTGAAACTTCCCGGATGTGATCTTGATATCGAGGACGCACCGATGCAGACTTGAGCACCAAACTCGCTCTGGAAGTCCCAGAAGTCATTGCGACTGGAGGTGGGAAGCGCAGCATTTTATTTAGATTTATTATTAAAGTTCAGAGATATCACTTATTTACCTCAGGAGTTTCCCTAAATGAAACGGTGAATATAAACATTACCATGAACATCTAAATAAAGGAATAAACACATTAAGAGTGTTTGTTTGCTGAAATTCGTATTAAAATCTGTTTTATTTATATTGTGCAACATATATTTATAATGTTTTTATGCATAGTATATATTCTGAAAAGGGGAAAAACAATAAATCATTGTATGAAGGCTGTAATGTTTAAATAATTTACCATTTAAAACACGTGAAGTTCATGTGACCATCAGGAAGACCGCAGCATTTCAATTCTCAAAGGACGCGTTCTCTGCCCTCGCGGTCTCCTGAGTTCGTTCTTCTGAGGACACCCGGCCAGACCGGTCTCCACAAGAACACAAGTCCGTTCTCTGCATTCTTGGAATTGAGAAACAGCCAATGACATCTGAAAAGGGAGGCAGGGCTGCTGAGATTCACTACCTGATTGGGGCTTTTGTGTCATTGCGTGTTCTTTCTTTATTCGTCAAGACCCTAACACAAAACTCAGTCAAACTCAGTTCCAAAAGGGCCGCAGCTCTGCACAGTTTAGTTCCAATCCTAATTAAACACACCTGATCAAACTAATTGAGTCCTTCAGGCTTGTTTGAAACCTACAGGTGTGTTGGAGCAGGGTTGGAACTAAACTGTGCAGGGCTGCGGCCCTCCAGGAATTGAGTTTGACACCCCTGCTCTAACACATGGCTTTAACGCTACCAGAAGACAGCAGACCAGCCTTCACTGGAAACAACAACATGGACACAGAAATGGGAGCGTTTTTGCACTATTGTCTGTTTTAGGCGCTATTGTGCAGTTATTCATTTGTTATGTTTAGTAACAACTCAACCTCGTCGTCTGTCCACAAAAATACCGCGTTCATTGTTCAACCGGCATTTGTTGACTAACAATAACCAAATGCCGGACGTTACACATCCTTCCTGTTTATACTAGAATGCGCATGCCCAGAGTGCGCGAATGGTCACGTGATATACACGTTTTTGGTGGCGTAGTGTGGACGCAGATATGTTCAGAAACGCTAGTGTGGACGCGGATCGTTTTTGATCCAAAACGCCGTTTTAAAACTAAAACGCAGTTGTGTAAATGGGGCCAAAGAGAACAAAATCGTCACTTCCTGATTATCTGGTGCCAAAAATCAACAGTAAAAACTGAATTTGCTGTAGTAGAAAAAACTGCGTGAATCATGTCTTCATTTAATAAATGACTTTCACCTCAGATGGCAATCCTGACATGCAGTGAACGCGCGGTGGTACATGAGAAAAGGCGTGAGATGCGGAGTTATTATTAATATAATTACACTAATACTGAAACAGCTACGTTGTTTTAGAATGACTAAAACAACATTTCAGATGCATTACAGTGTGCTCAGCCTGCTGGTTTGTCCATTCACACACATTTTCATCATCACACAATCTCTTATAACAAAATCACATGACCTTTTTGTAATGCACTCACTGTAATTTGTTTGGTAAAAGTGTTTCCATCGTAGTTCATGCGCATCTTTTCTTATTGAATTAAAAGTTTATCCTCATCAGTTATGCGCATATGTTTGTATGCGCATTTTCAAAATGTATGCATTTTGGTGTTTCCATCAACCTTTTTTTTTATGCACACATGAACATAAAAATAGGTGGATGGAAACACAGCTACTATCCCTTACCCCTTTTAACAAGATGTCATATAAGTCTCTGATGTCAATACAGTGTGTAGTAAAGTTTGAGCTCAAAATAGCACACTAATATTGTTTTATAACTCTCTGAAACTGAGCCTTTCAGGCTTTGATCCGAATTGTGGCTTTTGCTGACTTGCATTAAATGCAAATGAGATTGTGCTCTTTTCAGAAGAGGGCGGAGCTACATGTCTGTGCGTTGGCATTGTGGCAGATTTAAAAACAAGACTATGCTAATGAGGGGAACTAGTGGGCGGGGCTTTCCCCCTCTGATAACATCATAGAACGGGAGCATGTCAAATTAAAGTTTTTCTGCAGACTGTTTTTATCAAAAAAATTAAATATTATGTATGAATTGTTGCCATTAGAAGCTGTTTACATTTACACACTGTTGCCACACATCCATTTAAACTACTTATAAAAATGACTTGCATAATAGGCCAAGTATATTTAATAAAAAAAAAATACTATGGATACTGGTGACTAAAAGTTTTCAAGATGTTTTCAGTATATTTTCCTTTGTGTTCGACAGAATAAATAAACTCATATGTGGTGTTTGTGACAATTAAAAAAAGAGGACATTATGACAAAAATGTTTGTTTTTGTGTGAACTGTCCCTTTAAGACGCCCTCTCCCTCTTCCGTCTCGTCACATGACCCGAGTCTTGTGACAGTGCAGCGAGCAGGAAAAACGTCGTTTTCACTTTGACACAGTTTCCAGATTCAGATTTCTCTCTTAAAAACCGAGAGAAATCCAGGAAAGCTCGCTATGGCGCGTCTTTAGGACACACTCACGGCTTTTATAACCATTCCCGCGTTTCTGTCGCGGATGCTTTAGTGGAGCGGCGGTGAAGTCGCATGGGGAGACTGGAGGAACTTTCTCATCTTTGTTTTGGTTTTTGTTTTGCGTTTGTCCGCGTTAAAGAAACTCTCGGAGATTTTATGTTAGTTTGGTGAAGTACGCAGGACGCCTCAGACAGATATGGACACCAAACCTCTACTCCAGGACAGACCTCCTGCCTACAACACTGTCCCGAGCGCCTACGACTACGGTTCGATCCCCGCGGCCGGAGCACCCGCGGCGGGCTTCCAGCCTCCAGCCCCGCCGCCCTACCAAGGTGAGTGATATGGGTGTAAAGTTGGTTTTATATTCGCACATTTGGTTACATTTTACATTATCCCCAACCCTTGTGTGCTGTTGAGCATGTTTTCGGCCAATCTGGGATGATTTTGAGGCTTAATTATTGGACAGAAATATTCTCTGTTTCAACAAATGAGATGATTTTTGGCGACAAATCTTATTTAGACAGATATTTCGGGAAAATGCGTTGGAATTTTTTTGAAAAACTCAACAATACACTCTGGGTAACTTTACTACGGTTCACTATTGAGGTAAAGTTGGTTTTATATTCGCACATTCATTCAGTGACAACTTTCCTTCATTGTTTACCATGGTACATCGAATATTCGGTTTGAAATTGTAAGTATGATTTGAAAACAACATTAGCACTATTTGATTGTGACCAATGTACCTTAGCAGTCATTGGATGCTAATATAATTTCACTATTTAGAGGTTGCAAAGAATACTTGTCTGAAATTATAATATTAGGAGAAAGTCCAAATGTGTGATTATAAAACCAACTTTACCTCAATCCCTTTCGTTATGTTAGAGGCTGTTTTAGCCCCATTGACGTCCGTTATGTTGACGATTTTAATTGCAAGGCCATGACAGCATTTAACCATGCATTCTTGATTGTTGCTGGTTTTCCCAGTTGGGAAGAGGTCAAAATTGGTCTTTTTTAAATAATATTAGTTTTTTTTTTAATTTTACTCTTGATAATCAGTTCTAGTGCAAAAAAAAGCTTAGATTCTGGCTCTTAAGTGGAGTATAGTGTGTGTGTTTGGGGTAAAGTTGTTTTTTATCCACACATTTGTTTACATTTTACATGATCCCCAATCCTTGTGTGCTGTCGAGGATGTTTTTGTCCAATTTAATGTGATTTTAAGGCTTAATTTGGACAGAAATATTCTCTGTTTTAGCAAATGGGATGATTTTTGGTGACAAATCTTATTTAGACGCATATTTTGGGAAAATGCTTTGACATTTTTCTTTATGAGCACTTTTGGAAGTCTATAAAAGCTGCTCGGCATTTCTTATTTCGGCCGATTTCAACAATTATAAACAACATAAAGCAGAAACATTTTGATGTTCTGATAGAGATTCCTGTGTATAAGAACCACTTCCTGCCCTCCATCTGAATTACGTGCGTCATCAATGACGTCATTTGAAAACAACCTATAGTGCAGCGCTATTTCAGATCAACCCAGTGTTTTAATCTATACATGAATGAATCAAATGAGTGATTCATTGATTCATTAAAAAAAAAAGATAATTTCTGAGTCTGCAATATCTTGCTTTGGGAAAAAACTAATTTTATATATAGTGTCAATGCAGTTCTTGGTTTATTTTGAAATAGAAATGACAAAAAGTACTCATCTGATCTCATGATTCACTAGAAAGAATCAACTCTGTGAAGTTTGGAGACTGAACAAACAATCAGCCAAATGATACCAGGTCTCGACTCTTTTCATTCTCAGATTAGCACAATCTGGCTTTCTGTACTGCTGACTTGGTAATCAATCTAGAAAACCCAAGTCAGATGACAACTTGTAAAACTCGTCCATTCAGGTTGTGCAAGAGGCTCCTGGTCACATTCTTGCTTTTTATTTTTTATTGATTTAAAGAGAAGCGTATAGTGTGTATAAAAGCTCATTGTTTTGAAATTTTACGTCTGATTCTGTGACAATCAAAGAGTTTAGATAAATTGGCAGCACTTTACACGAAGCTGAGTTAGATAAAGGGCACTGAAAGTAAAATATTCCCTTTAAAACTACTCTGTTGATCTGTAAAAGTGCCTCAGAAGCTTTAAAGGGCACCTCTTAATGCAGAAATCACATTTATAAGGGGTTTAAAACACAGTTGTGTGGCAGCAGTGTGTGAATTATATCCAGTTTCTTATGGAAAAAAATAATTAAATCTGTTACAATCAGACTTGATGAATGAAACACTTTGATTGACATTCTCCCTTTTTATGATGTCATCAGAGGGGAAAAGCCCCGCCCTCTAGTGCCCATCTCTCCCTCATTAGACTTGTTTTTGAATCTGCCACTATGCTGACACACAGGCATTTGTAGCTCCGCCCTCTTAAAAAGAGCACAATCTCATTTGCATTTAAAGCGACAGTCACCAAAACACCACAATGAGTGGTGAAAATGAAAGGGTCAGTTTTAGAGAGGTATAAATCCTTATCAGTGTGCTATTTTGAGCTGAAACTTCACTTCACACACTCACCAGAGACTTATTTTACAGAATAGGTGCCCTTTTAATGTTAGTTAATGTATTTACTAACACAAACAATGTGTTTATTACAGTATTTACAGTAGTTGGTGTTAGTTAACTAAAATACAGTCGTTCATTGTTAGCTTATGTTAACTCACGGTGCACCACTGTTAACAAGCATTGATGATTGGATGTTAATAACGCATTAGTGAATGTTGAAATATGATTATTAAATGCTCATGTTCATTATTGGTTCATGTTACTCTATAAACTAACGAATGCAAAACGTATTGTAAAGTGTGAAAGATAAGCATTTGAAGTACCGGGGAAATGATAATCCACTATTGATTTAGTACTGTGTTTTGCACCAGGCTGTTTCTAGTTTAATGTGTAGTTTGGTAAGTTTGAAGTCCACTGACCATAAATGCACTGACCGCAGAGTCACGTACACACTTAGGTTGGATTATTTAATCATTAACTAATGTAATATTTACTGATTTTCTAGTGGGAATAGTTCAATTTTAGGATAAGTTTAAAGAGTATTGTACATCTAGAATATTACAGATGTTAATAACTTATGTTAATATGAATTAAAAACGTATTATAACTTGCATTTACAGGAAATACAGTTGTTTATCTTAAGAGTGCCTTTCTTGGCTTATGTATGTAGGACTTCAAGGGATAGTTCACCCAAATATTAAAGCTCTGTCTTCATTTACTCTCCCTTTATTTGTCTTAAACCTTTGTTGAACACACAATAAGATATTTTGAAGAATGTTAGAACCTGCTATGTAGATAATACAGTATATGGCAAATGCTGCGAGCCTGTTTCTACAGATGCCAGTGCAGAATGTGTGAATCTGATGTGTTGTTTGTCTTACAGGTTTCCCCGCGGCGGCATCAGGTTATCCAGCAGCTCCGGCTCCGGCTGCAGCTCAGCCAGCCTTCAGCACCTACACCATCGTCCAGCCCTCGGTAGTGGTGGTGGGGGGATGTCCAGCCTGCAGGTCAGCCTCGTACACACACTCTAGGGCTGCACGATATTTCAAATATCTGACATTTGTTTTGCCGAGGTCTGAATATAACCTCATTATGTGATTTGAAGAGCTCCATTTGGAAAGATTTCATTCATTTAGATCGACTGGGGAATATATTAAATAGCAATTACACAAACATGAAAAATCAAGAGAAACATTAAAAAAAAAATCTAATTGAGTTGAAATTATTACTTTTTTGCCAATAATTTATTTACATTAAAATACATTTGGTCCCACTTTATATTAAGTGGCATTAACTAATATGTACTTACACAGGAATTAATAGTTCATTACAATGTACTTATTGTGTAAATACATGCATTTACTGTGTACTGATGCGTGATTAAATACATGCATGTAATTATATCTGTAGATAACTTTTGCGATTAATTTGTAAATACACTGATGACCATCCCTTACACCTAAACCCACCCTTAAACCTACCCATACCACCAAACCTGTCCATAACCCAACCTCTATCCCAACTCAAAAGCACCACAAGTGTTCTCAAATACATTATAACACATTAAGTACATTGCATTTATTTTTTGAGGTAAGTACATAGTAGTTAAGGACACTTAATATAAAGTGGGACCAATGATTTTCTTTCTATTGCTAGAGGCGTTGGAAAGTTCACCAACTACAAAATCAGTTTTATCACATCATTTTGGGTTTGGGTTTGCTGGTTTAAGGTGTTTTTTGCTTGTCATGAGGTGATTTAAGATGGTTCTTGTTAGACATGAGTTGGATTAAAGTTACAAACATACAAACAGAATGAAATTCTCAGTCACAAATGCTTAAAGTTTAGTTTGACAATAACACAACTTCCTGTTTGAGTGGACTGTCCCTTTAACAAACCACAGCTCAGCTGATTATGAGAAATGGAGAACTACAGGCTGCTGCTGCTTGAGAAACGGTTACAGCAGAGAGTGAGAATGACTTTGGTTTGGATCAGTCTGTTCAGTCTTATCCATTAGGTCGTGTTGTTCAACTTGGGCTGATGTAGTTTAACAACCCAAAGACGCGTTGATCAGGCCTGACAAAACCGGATATATTTATACATCATGAAGAGCTAATGCAGCTTAATTACTCATACTGAGGGAAAACAATCACTTAAAAAGTTATTAAGCGACTTGTTAAATATGTGAGTAATTATCACATTGATTATGTTTTTCAGGGTTGGCGTGCTGGAGGACGACTTCACCTGTCTGGGCATCATGTGTGCCATCTTCTTCTTCCCGCTGGGCATCCTCTTCTGCCTGGCGCTGCGTCAGAGGAGATGCCCAAACTGCGGAGCCACCTTCGGCTAGAAGCGGACCAAACGCACGCCGTCTTTTAGAGCATCAGCATACGTTAATCACTGCACACCAATGATGCCAAACCGCGCTCATGTTAACCACTGTCATGATGAAGAAACCAGCCACAAACTCAAGATGATGATGATGATCGTGTTTTAGTAGTGCGGGGTAAACATTAATCACATCCAAAATTAAAGCTTGTGTTGACATAATATATATGAATTATAAAGAAATGAGAAACAAGATCCAGGGGGTCGTATATTTACCAATAAGATGCTGTTATTACGATTGAATAAATAACAGTTTCTCAGTATAGATGCATGCCTGTGTGTATTTATATACATACATAAACACACACACACACACACGTGTATGTCAAAACAAACGTATATTTCCGGATGTGATTAATCATTAATCTTTTCCCAGCACTAGTTTGTTTTATTTCCCGCTGATCCTCTGTAGATTTTCCAGTCATTGAATCACCAGTGCCTTTATGATGGCAGAGAACCGGCCGGGAAGAACATGCTGGACGCTTCATCTGCGCTTTTTTATTTGTATTTTAATTAAAGCATCACTCTTGACTATCATACGTTTCTGCAATCGTCCGTCTGTCTCGCTCCTCATCTTCTGTTTTGATCATTGTTTGTATATTATGGATCACTCGTAGACCATTGATGGGGTGTATGTTTATTTGATTTGTTGTAGGGGGCCATGTTTTCCTCAAGCTGCACCGATGTGATCAGTGTTAAAGAGACAGTTCACGCAAACAATGACATTTGTGAAACACCAGTTACTTATTCCAGAGAGCTCTATGAGCTTCTTAATCATGTTGAACATGAAAGAAGATATTTTGAAAAATGCTGGAAATCTGTAACCATTGTCTTCTATAGTATTTTTTTTCCTACTATGGAAATCAATGATTGCAGGTTTCCAACATTCTTCAAAATATCTTCTTTTGTGTTCAATTGAAGAAAGAAACTCATTCTGTTGAACACAAAAGATACTTTAAAAATGTTTGAAACCTGTAACCATTGACTTCAATAGAGTTTGTTTTTCCTACAATGGAAGTTAATGGTTACAGGTTTTCAACATTTTTCAAAATATCTTTCGTGTTCAAATGAAGAAAGAAACTCATTCTGTTGAACGCAAAAGATACTTTGAAAAGTGTTGGAAACCTTTGATCCACTGACTTTTATAGTATTTTTTCCTACCATGAAAGACAATGGTTACAGGTTTCCAACATTTTTTAAAATATCGTCTATAGTGTTTAACAAAAGAAACTCATTCTGTTGAACAGAAAAGACACTTTAAAGTTTTTTGAAAACCTGTAACCATTGACTTGCATAGTACTTATTTTTATTACTATGGAAGTCAATGGTTACAAGTTTCCAACATTTTTCAAAATATTTTCTATTGTGTTTAACAAAAATAAATAAATAAATAAATCATTCTGTTTAACATAAAAGATACTTTCAAAAATGTTGGAAACCTGTAACCATTGACTTTAATAGTATTTATTTTTTCTGCTATTGAAGTTAATGGTGACAGGTTTCCAACATTCTTACTTCAGTTGAACACAGAAGATATTATGAAGAAACTCATTGTTGAACACAAGATACGTTGAAAAATGTTGGAAACCTGTAACCATTGTCTTTAATAGTATTTATTTTTCCTACTATGAAAGGCAATTGTTGCAGGTTATCAACATTTTTCAAAATACCTTTGTTTGTGTCTAACTGAAGAAAGAAACTCATTCTGTTGAACACAAAAGATAATTTGAAAAGTGTTGGAAACCAGTAACCATCGTCTTCATTAGAATTATTTTTCTTGCTATAGAAAGTCAATGGTTATAGGTTTCCAACATTCTTCATTCAACATTCTATTTTGAAAAATGTTAAAACCTGTAACCATCGACTTCTAAAGTGTTTTTTCCTACTATGGAAGTCATTGGTTACAAATTTCCAACATTCTTCCAAGTATCTTTTTCGTGTCCAACAGAAGAAATAAACTCAAATGTTTTGTATCCACTTGAAATGAGTAAATGTTGAGTATTTTTGGGTGAACTGTGTCTTTAAATGAGTTGTGTTTCAGCAATACACACGATGCTGTAAATGAAATCCTCCTGTATTTGCTGTTTGACAATGGAAACGCTCTCCTTCCAGTGACCGACAATCAGTCTGCTTTATTCCTCATGTTTATTCTGCTTTGTGTTATTGGTCATGTGCCGTACTCAATAGCCACGCTCTTATGATCAGTTTTTTTTTTGTACACATTGAGAGAGATTGTAAATAAATTCTACTAGTGTCGCTAATGTCTGTGCGTCTGTTTATTTAGACATCGCTCAGCTTCCTGCTTCAGTGAAACTTCCTTAAAATGAGGATGTGAAGTCACTAAATACTTCATCTGAACACTAAGAGTTCTGCTAAATAGCAGGACACATATTTAGCAGAGTTTTCTCTTTACAGGAGACTTATTTACTAAGATGCAAGTCTCTGATGTCTTTCGAGTGTGTGCAGTGAAGTTTGAGCTCAAAATAGCTCACTAATAATGTTTAATAACTCTCTGAAACTGATCCTTTTAGGCTTTGATACTAATTGTGGTGTTTTGGTGACTGTCACTTTAAATGCAAATGAGATTGTGCTCTTTTCAGATGAGGGCGGAGCTACAGATGCCTGTCAGCAAAGCAGCAGATTCAAAAACAAGACTAACATTCTATGCTAATGAGGGAAAGATGGTCACTAGTGGGCGGGGCTTTCCCCCTCTGATGACATCATACAAAGGGAGAATGTCAATCAGAGTGTTTCTGCAGACTGTTTTCATCAAGTCTGATTATAAAAGATATAATTAATACATGTTAGCCATTAGAGGCTGGAGATATCCACACACTGCTGACACACAACTGGGTTTAAACCCGTTATAAATGGGATTATTGCATAATAGGTGCCCTTTAAAGCTTCTGAGACACTTAAAGGGACAGTCCACCCGAAAATAAAAATACTGTGGACATTTACTCTCGTGTTAAACATGTAAATGAATCCATATTAAAGCACTTTAACAGTATTATTCGGCTACTGAATGACTGATGTTGAATCTCAGTTCTGACTTTTATTGTCAAAGTGTCTGCTGGTTATTTTATTTTTAAGAATTGCGGTAAACTATTAGTATGACAATAAATGACACGTTAAATGTGTTCAAGCACACATTGGGGGCATTTAACACTGAATAAAGCCCATTAGCAGTACCTAAGGGTGATCATTGTCATAGTAGTTTACGCTGTTGTTATTAAAGGGCCATGAAAGCCCCTCATTTCAGCAGGGTGTTTTCACACCTCTACTTTAAAAAAAGTCAGAAAAGTGGGCGTGTCCAGCTCTGTTTAGGGGGGAGTGTCGGAGAAAGAAAAGTGGGATGGTGTGGGAGTGTCTATTTGAGCACGCTGAGTTTCAGAGTCAAAACACACCAACACACACACGGGAGAAAGTGACTGTGTTTACATGGACATCTGTAGTCGAATTATTTGCCAAATGATTAAATGGTGGACTTTAACTGCAGTTTGGCTCTTTCATTCAGGGAATTCATTCATGTCCCTCGCGACAAACGAGATATTTGATTGGAGGAGCTGCTGTTAGCGTGTATTATTCATGCAATGTTTGATACCGCACGGAGAATGAGAGAAAACCCCCTCCGCATTTCCCGGAAACTTAGATACACACGGCAGGTAGTGTCAGAAAGCCGCGTGTGTTATTCCGGTCACAAAATGCGGTGAAAACCCTACACGAGGTTAAAGTTTGGTTGTGGTGCTAACATGTTTACACTCGGTGCAATGGTTAACTTAATTCGATACGAACAAACTGAATAAACAAAGAGCACTGGTCGCTCACTTACCAAATCTGTAGAGACAGGACAATCACCAGCAACTAGAGCCGCGTCTTTATTAAGAGGAGACGAGCAGCGAATCCGGATCTCAGCGTTTGCAGATGAGAACAGCTCTCAGGTAAACAATAATCCTCCTTAGACACGTAAGTTATTGTTGTCGAGCGTCGCGTACACTGTTAATCCACACGTGACTCCAGCTGAGCTCTCACAGAGAGAAAATGAAAACAAAACTTCACTGCAGCAAACTATAAAAGCAACACTTCACGCTTGTTTTGCCAACACAACGTGGCGTCTCTGTCGTCTAAACACTGTGACAGTAATGAATATTAATGAAGATGCACAATAGAGCGCGCTGATTGGTTTGAACCAAGCTTTACTCATGCATTAATGCAGCACACTGTAAGACGTAATAAGACACACTCTGGCACAGACGTCCAGTCTGCACGCTGGAATACACACTATTATGTCATGGCCGTGACGCAGCTTCAAAAATTAGTTTCAAACCGGAAGTACGAATTTGCTTGAAATAACGCAAAAACAACCAATTTACACTTGTTAGTGAAATATAGGTGTCCTAATAGTGTTTTTAGCAGTGTGGCACACATTTACCACTGTCAACAGCTCAAACACATGTGTTCTGGTGTTTTGTGACCCTTTAAGCCCATAATCAGTACCTGAGGGTGATCGTTGTCATGGTAGTTTACGCTGTTGTTTTGTCGCGTAGCATTTGTCATGTGTTATGATGGCGCGTCGTGTGTTGTTCAGACACGGTGTTATTGTACATATTAAAAAAAACAAAACTGACAATTTTAAAAAGTTCAGATCACACATTTATTCTCTTCTGTATTTACAAAATGATACACTAAAAGCGCAACTACCTGATCTGTAGGACTAAATGCATATTCATAATCATTCCCTCAATAGATTCCTCTCTCTCTCTCTCTCTCTCTCTCTATACACACACACAATGCAACAAAGCGTGTTTCTTACTTAGAGAGTTTGTCTTGTTTCCAGTCCAAGTACCTATAAACTCCTAAATTAGGAAGCATTTTCTAGAAAAAGCAAGATTATGTAAGCAACAAGCAAACAACAAATAATAAATCATGATTATTAGTCCCGCTTTACAATAAGGCTGGATTAGCTAACAGTTCTTGAACAGCATTTACTGATCATACTTCAGCATGTGCTCATGCATTATTACCATCTGATGTCTTGCTTGTTAACATGAGTTGATTTGCATTAACAACGATCAATAATCACTGTAGTAAGTGTTTTGCTCATTGTTTGTCCACTATAGTAAATACATGAACTATTATTAACTAATACAACCTTAAAACAAGCTGAATAATCCGCTAATGGGGGGAATAAACGGATCAGACGTTAAGATTATTTCTCTTCGCCAACTGATGCATTATTCAGCTTGTTTCAAGTAAAAAGTCATCGCATTTTGACTCATTATTACTAAAAACAAGACTATATTTTAGCTTTTTCTCCAAAATGCTTCTTGATTTCAGAGTTTTAGATAGTTTTAATAGAACTAAGACCAAAACTCTCAGTGAGAAGAGCATTTCTGCAGTGTAAATATAAATCTGTAGAAATATATGAAGCAGAGAGAGAGAGAGGGAGGTGAAGGGTTAAAAGTGACTCACATAAATAGTGTTGTGCATGTGTGTGTGTGTGTGTGTGTGTGTGTGTGTGTGACTGTACTGAATGACGGTCAGATGATCGGGGCTGATCTGTCATTGGTGACTGTGGGCCGGAGTTTGACCGTGGCGAATGGATTTCCTCCCCTACAAGATAACCAAACACACACAACGACACTTTATTTAGATTTGATTTGTATTTTTCAAGGCGGCGGCGGCGTCATGCTTTGCTTTAGCCTTTATTGTAGCACTTTGGTTAAATTTGTAATTGAACAATACTGTGACTTTTACACCTTAGATTGACTTTCACATCATCATATAAAAGTCTGAACAGATAATTTTCACAAGATGCTGACACACACATACACACACACACACACACACGACTACTTTATTTGGAGTGACTTACAGTAATTAAAGCAACACAAAATCCAAATAATCCCAAAGAGTGTGTTATGTTTCACAGTACAAGCGGTGTGCAGATGAACACATTGACTGAATATCTCTAACAGGACATTATTAATAAACTCCAATCACCTCTGCACAAAACAACAACAACAATAATAAACAAATGTCTGCAATTTAAGGATTGAGATGACATTGTCTTTTCCAAACACACAGACGGCCTGTTATTGCAGTGTACAGGCTTTCTTACTGAGTCGCACAATTTCAGAGCATCTGCTAATGGTTGATATTTAAGCATCATTTCTGAATAGCAGACACACACACACACACACACACACACACACACACACCATCACTATGTACAGAAAACACACAGTTAGCTTTAACACTCACCCTAGGAGTGGATGTTTTGGCAGGCCGTTTGACTGTGGACCCTACAGGAAATAAAGAGCAGAACACACACACACACATTTACACAGCGGACACGATTACACACACTTAAAACACCGCAAAACAAACACAATCTCATATTTAAACCCCTTCACTGTGTGTTGTTAAAATGTTCAGCTTAAATGAACGCCAATATTCAATAATTTGCAGCACAGATTTAAGCTGGGTCTCATTTTACAGACGTCAGAGTGTACACGGCAGAAGATGTAATGTAAATGCTATTTTTTTATGTTGCTTTAACTTATGTTCATAAATGAATCAGGTTTCATCTGATTTCGATTAGTTATACAAACTTTAGTAATCAATTAAACCAAAAGTAGTCAGTTTGATTGATGCAAGTTGAGATGACTGGAAAAATGGATTTGACTCAACTCAATATCAGGGACATAAAATTACGATTATGAAAATAATTAAACAGTAAATGCATATTTTTATTAGATTACATAACATATGTATTTTACAAAACCAGTTGTAGCTTAAATTCAACAGAAAGCCTGATCTATATCTGAGCTTTCAGTGAGATTTGTTTGGGCGCAGTTCCAAACATTACCACCAGGTGAACATAAAAGGGCGTCCCTGATTTTTGTGTATATTTTGAGGAATATAAACCATATCTTTTAATACTTTTTACATTATTTGTACAGTAGACATACAATCTAAAGTATTACAGAAAGTTTAGTGGTATTTGATCTGAATTTCGCCTCTAAATATATATATATATAAAATTGTTTACATGTGGATTGCTGTAGCAAAGTAATGCTTTATGACTGAGGGGTATACTTGTCAGAAATTAATAAATAACTGCTGCTCAGTAATATCTTTCAAAAATCAGTCATCAGATATGGAAACTAGACATTTTAAGCTTTAAAAATGATATACAGTTTGTCATGATTGCTTCATGTTTAGACTGTAATATTGTGGTGTAAAAATGTCTCATGGTGAAGGGTGACAGTAAATGTGTTTAATCAATTACTCTTCCTACATAAAACAACACTGTGGTAAAATATGCTATATTTATATGTATATATATATATATATATATATATATATATATATATATATATATATATGATAGCTTAAATGTGACAAAACATAAAGCTAAATATCTGAACTAATTATATTCCAAATGTAAAGTGTTGAGCTTTCAGTGAGATTTGTTTGGGCGCAGTTCTAAACACGACCACCAGGTGGCCATATAAGGGCGTCCCTGGTTTTAGTGCATGTTTTGAGGAATATGAACCGTGTCTTCTCATACTTTTTGAATTGGATGTGTTGAGATTTAAAAGAAATGTAAAAGTCACATTTTACTCATGATGTACTCAGCGTTTCCAAACCTTTATGAGTTTGCTGCTTCTGTTGAATGCAAAAGAAGATATTTTGAAGAATGTTAGAAATCCAAAGCTATTGACTTCCAGAGAAGGGAAAAACAAATGCTATGAAGGTCAGTGGTCAGAGGTTTCTAACAATCTTTTAAACACCGTAATTTGTGTTAAAAAAAGACACAAGGGGAGTAAATGATAGAGATTAAATCATTCCAGAATCCAGGATAAACTCTGCCTGTAACATAAACAGTGAGTGCAGGTTTCTCCACTAGAGGGCAGCAGCACACAGACAGCAGAGGCCACTGCACTGAGCTAGCAGACTATCATCTAGTGGACACCAAGTAGACACCATCTAGTGCAAATCCTCAAGTGGACCGCATCTAGTGGACGCCATTAGTGAAAACCATCTAAAGGAAATCATCAAGTGAACATTATGAAGTGTACACTATTTACTGGACACAATCTAGAGGAAATCACCAGGTGGACACCATATAGTGGAAATCCCCTAGTGAACCCCATCTAGTGAACATCATCTAGTGGACACCATTAGTGAAAACCATCCAGTGAACACCATCTAGTGGAAATCATCCAGTGGACACCATATAGTGTAAATCACCTAGTGGACCCCATCTAGTGCAAATCATCTAGTGGACACCATTAGTGAAAACCATTTAGTGAACACCATCTAGTGGAAATCATCTAGTGAACACCATCTAGTGGAAATCATCAAGTGAAGACCATCTAGTGGAAATCATCTAGTGGACACCATCTAGTGAACACCATCTAGTGGAAATCATCTAGTGAACACCATCTAGTGGAAATCATCTAGTGAACATCATCTAGTGAACACCATCTAGTGGAAATCATCTAGTGAACACCATCTAGTGGACCCCATCTAGTGCAAATCATCTAGTGGACACCATTAGTGAAAACCATTTAGTGAACACCATCTAGTGGAAATCATCTAGTGAACACCATCTAGTGGAAATCATCAAGTGAAGACCATCTAGTGGAAATCATCTAGTGGACACCATCTAGTGAACACCATCTAGTGGAAATCATCTAGTGAACACCATCTAGTGGAAATCATCTAGTGAACATCATCTAGTGAACACCATCTAGTGGAAATCATCTAGTGAACATCATCTAGTGGACATCATCTAGTGGACATCATCTAGTGGAAACCATTAGGGAAAACAATCTAGTGAACACCATCTAGTGACCATCATCTGGTGGACCTCATCTAGTGGACACCATTAGTGAAAACTATCTTGTGGAAACCATCTAGATAACACCATCTAGTGGAAATCATCTAGTGAACATCATCTAGTGGACACTATTTAGTGGAAATCCCCTAGTGAACCCCATCTAGTGAACATCATCTAGTGGACACCATTAGTGAAAACCATCCAGTGAACACCATCTAGTGGAAATCATCCAGTGGACACCATATATTGTAACTCACCTAGTGGACCCCATCTAGTGCAAATCATCTAGTGGACACCATTAGTGAAAACCATTTAGTGAACACCATCTAGTGGAAATCATCTAGTGAACACCATCTAGTGAACACCATCTAGTGGAAATCATCAAGTGAAAATCATCTAGTGGACACCATCTAGTGAACACCATCTAGTGGAAATCATCAAGTGAAGACCATCTAGTGGAAATCATCTAGTGGACACCATCTAGTGAACACCATCTAGTGGAAATTATCTAGTGAAAATCATCTAGTGAACACCATCTAGTGGAAATCATCTAGTGAACATCATCTAGTGGACATCATCTAGAGGAAACCATTAGGGAAAACAATCTAGTGAACCCCATCTAGTGACCATCATCTGGTGGACCTCATCTAGTGGACACCATTAGTGAAAACTATCTTGTGGAAACCATCTAGATAACACCATCTAGTGGACACCATCTAGTGGAAATCATCTAGTGGACATCATCTAGTGGACATCATCTAGTGGACACCATTAGTGAAAACTATTTAGTGGAAACCATCTAGATAACACCATCAGTGAACACCATCTAGTGAAAATCATCTAAAGGAAATCATCCAGTGAACATCATTAAGTGGACACTATCTAGCGTAAATCATCAAGTGTAAATCATCTAGAGAAAATCACCAGATGAACACTATCTAGTGTAAAGCATCAAGTGTAAATCATCTAGTGGACACCATCTAGTGGACACCATTAGTGAAAACCATCTAGTGAACACCATCTCGTGAAAATTACCTAGTGTACCCTATCTAGTGGAAATGGTCTAGTGAACACCATATAGTTTAACTCATCTAATGAACATCATCTTGTGGACACCATTTAGTGGAAATCATCTAGTGGACACCATGTAGTGGACACCATTTAGTGGAAATCATCTAGTGGACACTATCTAGTGGCTAGATATTTAGTTTATTGTGCTAATAGTCTTAGTCATCAGCTTGTAAGGTAGACTGAAGAGTGACTGCATGTTTCAGTGTTGTGTTTGTGCATGGAGCTGATATTGATCAGTCTGCAGGCTCTGTTCTGACCCATCAGGTTCATCAGCAAGACTCGCTTCTGAGATGCGCATCTGCTCTCTGTCAGTCTTTCTCATTCATGCACACAGAAAAGCAGGCAGGGAGCATTTTTTCCCACGATGCCTTTACCTGTGAGTGCTATAGTATTAATAGTATTACAAAATACAAAATAGTATTGTAGTCAACTACACTATATTCATTTAATTTACTTATTTTCTGTCAAATGATGTTATTTTACTTTGAAATACACACTTTATTAGGTACACCGTACTAGTACAGAGTTAAGCTCTCTTTGCCTGGAAATATTCCTCAGAGATTTTGCTCCATATTGTCATGATAGCATCACACAGTTGCTGCAGATTTGTCGGCTGCACATCCATGATGCCAATCTCCGGTTCCACCACATCCCAAAGCTGCTCTATTGGATTGAGCTCAGGTGGCTGTGGAGGCCATTTGAGTACAGTGAACTCATCGTCATGTTCAAGAAACCAGTCTGAGATGATTGAGCTTTATGGATCTTTGTGCTTTGAGCTTTGTGGATCTGATGGTTTCAGGTTGAACCCGCAGTGGAAAGCTTGAGTCGTGACCCGGATGTGTGTGTGAGTGTGTGTTCATTTTGTGTGGATGTGTGTGTCTGCGTGTTTGTGTGTAGGATTCAGCGAGTGTTGAATATTTCAGAGAGAGCAGCAGTATCCTCTTCCACAGGTGAACACCGACTCACAAATCAGGGACAAATACCATCAGTCATAAGTTAAGTGTACGTGTGTGTGTGTGTGTGTGTGTGTGTGTTTCCACAGCAAAACAACACATGAAACAGCAGATATTTGCCATTAAGTTAGAGAAATGTCGCCCCAAATCAAGTCATTTTAGGCTGCAATGATCAAAACAGAAACCCCCGAGCATAAACCCTATAAACACTGTGATAATGCAGAACCCCCTGAGCTGCGGGACCCCCGAGAGCTTCTGCTGTGTCCTGTGATGCTGTGCTGTCAGTGAAATGCAGGATCTGATGGGAATAAGCACAGTCCTCTGATTTACATGCACTGGCAGGCGAGTGTCACCAGCCGCAGTGTGTTTGCATGCATGCAAATAATGTGGACTTGCATGCTTTAGGATCCTGTCACGTTAGAGACGCCACACACACTCACTGCAGACACTTTATCAGGTACACAAAGATGCTTTTGTTACGCAAGTGTTTGAGTTTGTAATAAACGTGTATCCTCCTCTGTTGTGCACATGCGGTACTCTTTATGAGCATTTTCTAAATCTTGGTGTTTCCACTTAAGTCAGCATGAAACTGAAGTAAAGTTTGTTCTTTTTTTTCTCCTGTTATAATGTTCATCTGATTGAAACTGTTTCTGAAATGAAAAGAAAAATGCAGGGTGGTGCAGATTGACAACAAAATGTTTGCTAAAACATTACTGTCCACTGGAATCACCATTGGTATACTCGGAATATAGAATGAGGAGCTACATTTTACAGATGGAATCAAGTTTCCAATGAAGGCAGGTCAGAAACCAGCCCTGCACTGATAGACCCGCCCTAAAGGAATAATAGCTCCGCCCTAAAGCACAGATATCCCTGCTCTAAAAAACTGATAGTCCCCTCCTAAAGGACTGATAGCTCCGCCCTAAAGGACTGACAGCTCCGCCCTAAAGGACTGATAGCTCCGCCCTAAAGAACTGACAGCTTCGCCCTAAAAGACTGACAGCTCTGCCCTAAAGGATGGACAGCTCCGCCCTAAAGGACTGACAGCTCTGCCCTAAAGAACTGACAGCTCCGCCCTAAAGAACTGACAGCTCCGCCCTAAAAGACTGACAGCTCCACCCTAAAGGATGGATAGCTCCGCCCTAAAGGACGGACAGCTCCGCCCTAATGGATGGACAGCTCTGCCCTAAAGGACTGACAGCTCCGCTCTAAAAGACTGACAGCTCCGCCCTAAAAGATGGATAGCTCCGCCCTAAAAGATGGATAGCTCCGCCCTAAAGGACGGACAGCTCCGCCCTAATGGATGGACAGCTCTGCCCTAAAGAACTGACAGCTCCGCTCTAAAAGACTGACAGCTCCGCCCTAAAAGATGGATAGCTCCGCCCTAAAAGATGGATAGCTCCGCCCTAAAGGACGGACAGCTCCGCCCTAATGGATGGACAGCTCCGCCCTAAAAGATGGATAGCTCCGCCCTAAAAGATGGATAGCTCCGCCCTAAAGGACGGACAGCTCCGCGCTAATGGATGGACAGCTCCGCCCTAAAGAACTGACAGCTCCACTCTAAAAGACTGACAGCTCCGCCCTAAAAGACTGACAGCTCCGCCCTAAAGGATGGATAGCTCCGCCCTAAAGGACGGACAGCTCCGCCCTAATGGATGGACAGCTCTGCCCTGAAGAACTGACAGCTCCGCTCTAAAAGACTGACAGCTCCGCCCTAAAAGATGGATAGCTCCGCCCTAAAAGATGGATAGCTCCGCCCTAAAGGACGGACAGCTCCGCCCTAATGGATGGACAGCTCCGCCCTAAAAGATGGATAGCTCCGCCCTAAAAGATGGATAGCTCCGCCCTAAAAGATGGATAGCTCCGCCCTAAAGGACGGACAGCTCCGCGCTAATGGATGGACAGCTCCGCCCTAAAGAACTGACAGCTCCACTCTAAAAGACTGACAGCTCCGCCCTAAAAGACTGACAGCTCCGCCCTAAAGGATGGATAGCTCCGCCCTAAAGGACGGACAGCTCCGCCCTAATGGATGGACAGCTCTGCCCTGAAGAACTGACAGCTCCGCTCTAAAAGACTGACAGCTCCACCCTAAAAGACTGACAGCTCTGCCCGAAAGGACTGACAGCTCTGCCCTAAACGACTGATAGCTCCGCCCTAAAAGACTGACAGCTCCACCCAAAGAACTGACAGCCCCGCCCTAAAAGACTGACAGCCCCACCCTTAAAGGCCGATTCCATGTAATCCATATGAGGGGGGAGGGAGGGTTATAGTCTTTGATTAAAGATTATGAGGGCTAATTCATTTTTACAGAATAATGAAGTGCACAGATACATTGTTTAGAACGAGCACTGCTATAAATATCTAAAAATAAGAAAAGACTACATTTTGATTTCGTGCCAACTGTTCCAGAATTTGCATAAAAAAAGGTGGATGGAAACAAAACTTGGCATAGTGACATTTCCCAAAATCCAGGAAGAATAAACGCCGGAGATGGCAAATAATTTCATTCATAATTTTAGCCATGGAGACATTTTCACCACAGAACTGCAGATGTCTGGATATTTCCTCTTTTTTTGGACCATTAAAAGCATAAAGCAACTCAAACCGGTTTGCAACATGTAAAAGAAAAGTAAATCACAGAACTTTCAGTTTTTTTTAGTGAACTACCCCTTTAATTACTGTACAACTAAGAGTCTCGAGGTAAACCGTAGTGTGCACTTAGAAGTGAACACAGCATATGTTAGCATTTCAGACCAAAAGCAAGCACTAGATTTCAGTGATAGCCTGCAGTCTCTGAGGTGACACCAGTTTATGTGAGCAGTTTGGATTTAGCCCTCAATCCTCTTTAAAGTCACCCTGATCCTCTGATCCACTCAGACACAAGCACTGCAACCATGTACGCGTCACCGCACGGCCTACACACACTCACTGTGACACACTTATACACATATCATGAGCGTTCACTGACCCCAAGCGCAGACACACTCAACAAACACAGCAGATCCTGCGCTTAATGGCATTTACAGCTTAAATAACCTTTCTTTCTAGGAATGCACCAAATATCGGCAGCCATATCGGTTTTTACTGATAAATGCCTGGTTTTTATTGTGCTGCTATTTTATTTTATTGGGTGGAAACATGCAAATGATGCAGCTTTTAAAATAAAATCTGAAGACTCAATATTTATCAGCCTGTATATTGGTTATTAAAGCAAGAGTTATCGGTTATCGGTTCAAATTTCTATATCAGTTCAACTTTGTATGTTTTTCACAATAAACAAATAAATGACTACAAAAGCAATTGATGCAGTTTTTAATTTAAAATGTGAAGAAAGATATTTCAATTTCATATTTATCAGCTTGTATATCAACTATACATAAATATAAAGAAATGGTGTGGCTTATCAGTCAAGTATAAAGAAAATTGTCAAACAGCCAAAATATTCATATCAAAGCAACTCTGCTTCAAAAAAATAAATAAATAAATAAAAATGAATGCAATTGATGCTGTTTTTAAAATGAAATTTGAAGACTCGTATTTATCAGATTGTATATCAATCACCTGCTAATAATTGTAAAGAAAAGGATATCGGTTATTAGTCAAATATCAAGAAAACGGTCATATTGCCAAAATTTCCGTATCAGTGCAATTCTGCTTTAAAAAAAAAATTAATGATATTTATAAAATATAATCTATAGGCTCAAATTAATTAGAATGTATATTGATCATATGCTTATAATTATAAAGATATCGGTTATTAGTCAAATATTTTTAAAAAATGGCCATGATTTCCATAGCAGTGCAACTTTGCTTTAAAAAAATAATAATAATAAATGCAATTTATGCAGTTTTAAAAGTAAAATCTGAAGACTGTAATCCACTTATCAATATAAAGAGTTATCGGTTATCGGTCAAACAGCCCAAAATTCCATATCGGAGCAATTGTGCAAAATAAAATATGAATAAATGCAATTTATTAATGATTAAATTGTAATCTAAACACTTTTATTTTTGCAGACTGTATATCGGTCATCTGCTAAAAAATATTAAGATATCGGTTATCGATCAAATATCAAGAAAATTATCAAACAGCAAAATTTCTATTTCAGTGCAACTCTGCTTTTAAAACAAAAATACACATAAATGCAATTGATGCAGTTTTAAAATCAAATGTGAAGACTAGTATTTATCAGACTGTATATCGGTTATCTGCTTATAATTGTTAAGAAATGGTATCGGTTATTGGTGAAATAAAATGATCAAACAACCAAAATGTAATAAATAAAATATAAATAAATGTGATTTGCGATCTGCTTAAATATAAAGATATCGGTTATCAGAAAGAAAACTGTCGAATGGCCAACATTTATGTATAGGTTAAACTTTGATTTTTATTTTTTGTGAAAAACATACTATTTAGGCAGTTTTTTAAATATTAAATCATAAAAATAATTAGTAAATTATTAATTTACTCATTATTATCTACTTAAAAATATAAAGAAAGAATATTGGTTATCTGTCAAATATCAAAAAAATTATGCAATTATGCAAAATAAAATAAAAATAAATGCAATTTATTAATTATTAAATTCCAATCTTAACAAATTTGCTCAGAAATATAAAGATACCGGTTAAATATAAAGAAAATGTCAAATGGCCTAATTGTCCATATCGGTTAAACTTTCTATATTCATAATAATAATAATAATAATATTAATAATAATAATAGCAATAGCAAAAAAATAGTAATAATATTAATAATAACAACAACAATAATAATAATAGTAAAAAATAAATAATATTAATAATAATAATAATATTAATAATAACAATAATAGTAATAGTAAAAAAAAAATAATAATAATAATAAATAAATAAATAATGCAATTTATGTTGTAGTAAAGTAAAATGTATGATATATCGGTTATCTGCTATTTCAATTTTTATCTGCTATATTTTTTAAAGATAACAATACTATTGATGTCTGCCCATAGAAAACTGATGACTATGATTGCCATATGTTCTGGAATATTACTTACACCTCTTTAACACACTCTAGTGAAAATAAATGTGACTTTGTTTTGAGCCAAATACAACACAACTCGTCTCCATGTTGCTAAATAAAGCAGTGAATAAAGCTGGACACTGACCGAGTTCTCCAATGACGGGGTGTAAGTCTGCGTCAGGCTCTTGGTGGAGTTCCTCCTGACCGGTGAATCTCCATAATCTGCTGGAGGAAGAACCATCCTGTCCTCCGCTGGCTCCTGCTGCATCAGATTAGCCACGCTTTTACTGCGCATCGGAGGAAGTCCAACCATACTGCAAACAATCAATCACATCAGCATCAAAACACTCGTCACGTCATTGATTTACATTGCATAAGAACAGATTTACTAAGCAGCATACCAAAGAAATAAGTCAATGTTAAAAGCTGAGGGTAGAAAGAACGGAAACAATCACATCAGCATCAAAACACTCGTCACATCATTGATTCGCTTTGCATTTTAACAGGTTTATCAGCCAGAATACTGAAGAAATGATGCAATGTTAAAAGCTTTGGCTGCTATGAAAGGAAATCTGTTTAATTCAGATTAAGCGCAGTAAGATTCACTTTCCACAACCTTTCCAAAGACTCATCCAGTCACTTAGAAGAAGTGAATTGTTCTTGTTGGTTTAACTGTGCAGATGAATAGTATACAATGCTCAGCATATATGAGGACATCCCTCACAAATCTCTCATTTAAATATATAATCTATATCTGCATCTATGTAATCTATATCTATTAATCTTAATCTATATTTGTGCTTGTATACAACAGTTCTGTCTGGCTCTTGAATCTGATTGGCTGATAGCCGTGGGACATGCTGCAATATCAGCACTCGTCCAGCCTCTTCACTCTTGTGTATTACTCCGCCCACACAGAGTGACAGCAGATCAATAAACTCACTACAGTTTGACAAATATTGCAGCTGTTGGACAACATCATGTACTTCTGAGGCCTTTTTTTTAGTGGAGAATGTAGTTGTTTAGATGGAAACGATGCAGTTTATTTATGAGGATAGTGCCTATTTTGAAATATTTCTGAGAGACGGTGCATCGGCATCCATCAGCCTGTCAAAGACGGTAGACGTTCCTTCACAAGATGGTGACAAAGATTGCATAATAAGCCCTTAGGGGAGAATAAAACTGTGCAAATTTCGAACTACAGCTGATCAAAACATTATTAAACAGGTGAGTGACATTCTAAGTCGATCTCCCTCTCTTGTATGTTGCAGTGCTCTATTTATACCATAGTAATTGTAGTGTATTGAGTGTGAGATGAGACTCTCATATCACGAATGTGTGAATTTTGTAATGGCCACTCTTTGTATAACCCTGAGTTTGGTTGGCCATCTGTTTGTCTCTAATGAGTCTCCTGTTTTCGTTACTGCAGACTAATTAAGTAAACAGAAAGAAAGAAGAAATGCCCGCATGTGTTTAGTGTTTTTTGCTTATCGCAAACACAACAGTAATCTGCTAGTGTCTGCTTTGGCTTTTTCAGGGTTAATTATTGTGATCTCCCGATAGTAACAGAGAAATACTGAGAAATCTCTGTAGACTGATGACATTTCATTTCAATTTCATTCAGCCTTATAATCTTTAAGATGTGAGCAAAGTCAGCTGTTTTGTCATCACTTTAGACATTACGCTAGAGAATCATTCAAACACTAGCTCTAATGTGAGGTTGGTGAAGTAGCAGCAGTTTCTGCTGTTCTGACGTCAGCTGCAGATGTGAATGAATGGTAGAAGAAAGTAGTTCCTCTTGGGTTTTGAGAGACTTACTTTTTTTAAAAACACGATTATGCCGTCGAACTGTTGTGTAAACACAATATCACACGATATGGCTGTATAGTGTCACTAGTGGGACACTAACGTCCCATTCACATGGGGCGTCAGCTTCAATGCTTCCCATTCACTTTGAATGGGTAACGTGAGGCAGTATTGTAGCTTCAGAGGCGTTGCTCGCTCAACTTTTCAAGCGCCGACGGAAGCGTTAGCCAATCAGATCTCAGACAGTGGCCTATTGCTGACTTAATTCATTGGCTGACGCTGCTATGACGACCGCGTCAGCCCTAACTTCAGACACGCCCTCTGTCAAGCGTTGACGCTGAAGCCCCGTGTGAATGCGGCGTAAGAAGCAATGCACGCCTCCAACCAGTGCCGATACAGAGTCATATGGCACTGCTACGAGTGTGATATTGCTCATATATACATTAGATTAGTCAGTTCTGAAGCCAAATATGAAGCTTATCTAACGAAATAGCAGAAGATAGTAGTCCAATATGAGTACACCCAAATTAATTTGGTAGGAAAAAATATTATTTTTTTTAAAGAGCAAAATTCAAGAAAAAAAAAGTATAACATGTAGTTGAAATTTAGATTTCATAAGAAAGATTTATAATCTTTCTATTTGTAAAAAAGGTTGGGTGACTAAAATGGTATTTTAATAAATATATCCGTTTAATGGACCTGTTTTATTCAAATGCACCAAAATATGACATATTCACATTCATATTTATATTAGAAATTAATAAAAATATTAATTTTCAAAATGGCATGTGTTCAGTTGTGTTGAGCACTGCTTTTCTAGATTAAGAACTGTCATTTGGTCTAAAAATGTCAATGCATTTTATATTTGATCCATTTCTATAACTTTTCAGGTCTGAAAATGACAATGAAATATGTTTAATATTTAAAGCCACCTGAATTATGAGCCTGTATATTATTTATTGTCTGTTTAACAGAGAGATTTCCTCAGCAGATTTTAATAACTCATCTCTAATAGCTGATTTATTTTCTTTTTGCCATGCTGACAGTGCATAATATTAGACTAGATCTTCTTCAAGACACTAGTGTTCAGCTTAAAGTGACATGTAAAGGCTTCACTAGGGTAATTAGGGTAAAGTTAGGGTAATTAGGCAAGTCATTGTATAACAGTGGTTTGTTCTGGAGACAATTCAACACTAATATTGCTGAAGGGGCCAATAATATTGACCTTAAAATGGCCTTAAAACTATTAAAAACTGCTTTAATTCTAGCTGAAATAAAACAAATAAGACTTTCTCCAGAAGAAAAAATATTATCAGACATACTGTGAACATTTCCTGCACCTGTTCAACATCATTTGGGAAATAATTTAAAAAGAAATGCACAGGAGGGTGAATAATTCTGACTTCACCCGTTTACATATATGTTTTAGTCGATGCTTTCGACTCTTAAGATGCTTTTTAGTTTGTTTGCAAGTGGCATAATAGCATCGGCCTGCACACCATTGTAATATCACCCCATCAAACACATCCATATCAGACCTGACTGTGCATAAACCAAGTGCTCTCAGTGTCTGCTGCAGCACAAAAGGCTTTTTGATCAGGCATTACCAGGGCAGCCCTCGGGGTCCAGGGAGATAGTATTACATTAAGCATCAGAAAGCGAAAAGTGTCGTGTTCGTGGAGCAGACGTTAGCAGAAGCAGAGCACACTTTAAACACATCACGAAAGAGCACAAGGGATTAAGACGTCTTATGAAGCAGCTCTCGGTCAGCCTGGGTGAAGACTATTACTAGAGTTACTCTCCACTGACCTAATGATGGAAAACATGCTGTTCTTATCTAGTTTGTGTCTTGTTTCTAGTATAACTCTTAAATTAAGAAGCATTTTCTGGACGAGTAAAACATATCATCTTGTTTTAAATAACAATACGCCAAAATTAAGTGATGTTTTTCTTTGAAACATGCAAAATAATCCGCCATTGGTAGATGTTTTTAGCTTGTTTTAAGAAAAAACTCACTTTATTTTGACTCATTATTTCTGAAAACAACACTATATGTTGTGCTCGTCTAGAAAATGCTTCCTAATTTAAGAGTTTTAAGATATTTGGACTAGAAACAAGACACAAACTAGATAAGAACAGCATGTTTTTGGAGTAAATGATGTGAAATATACAGATATCACTGTCATTTACTCTCATTTCAATCTCATTCATTTTCCTTCAGTTTAGTCCCTTATTTATCAATGGTCGCCACAGTGGAATGAACCGCCAACTATTCCAGCATACGTTTTATGCAGCGGATGCCCTTCCAGCCACAACCAAGTACAGTGAAACACCCATACACTCTCACATGTACACACACACTCATACACTACGGCCAATTTAGTTCATCAGTTCCCCTATAGTGCATGTGTTTAGACTGAGGGGAAAACCAGAGCACCCGGGGGAAACCCAAGCCAACACAGGGAGCAACAACATGCAAACTCCACACAGAAATGCCTTCTGGTCCAGCCGGGACTGAAACCAGCAACCTTCTGGCTGTGAGGCCTCAGTGCTAACCACTGAGCCACCGTACTGCTGAAATTGGGATGTTATAATAGATTTTCCTATAAATAATAGGAAAGACTATTTGTTAACATGTTTGTCATCATGTTATTTGCATATTTACAAATATCATTAATATAAGTGTATTTATGATTTGTTATAGTACATCTTGAACATAGCTGAATTATCAGCCCTCAGAGACAAAAAAAAAAAATATATATATATATATATATAAATATATATATATATATATATATATATATATATATATATATATATATATATATATATATATATATATTTATAATTATTGTTGTTTTTTTATTGTTAGAAAAATCACTATGAATAATATTTGAAAAAAATTAAGGGTAATTTACAGATATTATTATTTTAAATTGATTTTAATAAAATTTGTAAAAATATAGATTTACATTTTTATTTAATCTGTGCTGATTAACTGATTAATGGAAAGATTTAATAAAAATAAAGTAATATAAAAGTATATACATATATTCAATTGTTTTTATTAAATCTTAAAAAAATTTATGTATTAAAATAAAAATGTTAATGTCTATATTTCTTCAAAACAACAACAACAAAAAAACATTTAAAATCAACGACCACTGATTAATAAAGAAACTAAGCCGAAAAGAAAATGAATGAATGAACATTTAAAATCTCTAGGCTTTACAGAGAATGCTCCGACAAAGAGGAAATATCCAGTGAGCGGCAGTTCTGTGGGCGCAAATGCCTTGATGCCAGAGGTCAGAGGAGAATGGCCAGACTGGTTCCAGCTGATAGAAAGGCAACAGTAACTCAAATAAGCACTCGTTACAACCGAGCTCTGCAGAAGAGCATCTCTGAACACACAACACGGCCAACCTTGAGGTGGATGGGCTACAGCAGCAGAAGAACACACCGGGTGCCGCTCCTGTCAGCTAAGAACAGGAAACTGAGGCTACAATTCACACAGACTCACCAAAACTGGACAATAGAAGATTGGAGAAACGTTGCTGCTCTGATCAGTCTCCATTTCTGCTGACACATTCGGATGCTCAGCTCAGACAACATGAAAGCATGGATCATCCTGCCTTGTATCAGCGGTTCAGGCTGGTGGTGGTGGTGTAATGGTGTGGGGGAGATTTTCTTTGGCTCCATTAGTACCAATTGAGCATCAACGCCACAGCCTACCTGAGTATTGCTGCTGACCATGTCCATCCCTTTATGAGCACAGTGTCTCCATCTTCTGATGGCTACTTCCAGCAGGATAACGCAGCATGTCATAAAGCTCAATCATCTCAGACTGGTTTCTTGAACATGACGATGAGTTCACTGTACTCAAATGGCCTCCACAGTCACCAGAGCTCAATCCAATAGAGCAGCTTTGTGATGTGGTGGAACGGGAGATTGGCATCATGGATGTGCAGCCGACAAATCTGCAGCAACTGTGTGATGCTATCATGACAATATGGAGCAAAATCTCTGAGGAATATTTCCAGTAGCTTGCTGAATCTACGACAATCTTATATAAATTAATGACACAGCAGTTTACTGTAATTTTAGGATGGTTTCTACTCTATTTCGAACAGTAGAAATCTGGCAACCACAGTCTTTTGCTGTCAGTTTTACAGAAATATTTTGGAAAGAACTTATTCCACATCCCTAATCCTGCCCGATACCTAAACCCAACTACTGCCGTACTGACTATTAATGAACAGCTAATAAATAATTTATTGAGACAAGAGTCATAGTAAATGGTTATTAACACAATATCATATTTTAACTGCTAAAACTCCAAGATTTTAGGGTAAATATTCATGACCTTGTATTCCTGTAATGAATACATGAGGTAAACAGCAGGAAAAATTTATGTAAAATAAACGAAATACATGTAAATAAAATACACGACAATCCATGTAGCTGTTATTTATTTTTAGATCTATGCAAATTACGTTTTGATAAGTAACATGGGAGGAATATGCGAGCATGACTGTATGAATCCTGTTATTAGCATGAACTGTGCATTATAATATGTGACCGAAGCCATTCGGCAGATACAGTATGTGAAAGGGCTGGAAACCTGTTTGAACACAATAGTCTTACGCCACTTTTCGGCAACACAACATTAAAGTCAAGTTTATTTCCGTCCCTCTGCTGCTCCATTCACGCCTGACAGTATCTGATTTCTCGGGCCGCGGCTTTATGAGACTGTAATAGTTTCAGAACGGGGCTGGACTGCTGTAAAGCTTGTGTTTCCTTCTCAGCGATCAGTATCACAGCTAATCAGGACAACAAAGAACTGTGTGTGTGTGTGTGTGTGTGTGTGTGTGTGTGTGTGTGTGTGTGTGTGTGTGTGAGTGTGAGTGTGTGTGTGTGTGTGGTGTCTGATTACCTGTTATTTACTGCTGGTTCTGTATATGCACGGCAGTAAGATGATGGAAACCAGCCCCGCCTGTAAAACACACACACACACACACACACACACACACAGAGCACAAGTCATTGTTAATAATGCAAATTAATAATATTATAATTATTAATAAGAAGACGATTATAGAGAAATAAACATGAGTAGAAATTCTGGAGCCTTAAAATCCAGCTCAGCAACCCTGAATTAAAACTGACACACACACATCCACATACACGCACAACGCATGCGCAGAGGCACACACACACATGCACATACACGCACAACGCATGCGCAGAGGCACACGCACATGCGCACAACACATGCGCACAGACACACAAACACGCAAGCAAGCACACACACATGCACATACATGCACACAGAAACACACAAGCGCACACACATGCACACACAAACACATACTGCATACATACGCGCACACACACACACTCAGACACACACACACATTCAACCGCGCACACAGACCTTTTATTTATAGATCATTATACGCACACACGCATGCACACAATGACACACACGCACGCAAGCGCACACATGCACAAACACGCACACACACACACGCACGCGCACACGCACGCGCACGCACGCACGCACGCACGCACACACACACACATGCATGCATACACTCAACCGCACACACTCAAACATGCACATTTATGCGCACACAAAATGCACACACACACACACACATGGATGCATGCATACACTCAACCGCGTACACAAACACAAACATGCACATTTACGCACACACACAAACCCATACACCTGCACATATATGCACATAAACGCACATATATGCACACACAACTGCACATATACACGCACACACACACACATGGACACACATACCTGCATATATGCACACTCAGGCACACAGACACACACATGAAAGCGCACACATGTACATTTATGCACACAGAAACACACATGGACATGCACATACACACTCAAACACACCTGCACATATACACACACGCACACACCTTCTTATATACGCATGCACACAAACACGGACACACACGCATGAACATTTACGCACACATGCATGCACACAAACACATATACGCACATGTATGCACACACACATCTATCTACACACGCTCACACACAAACTCAATTGCACACACACACACGCGCACACACACACACGCACACAGACACACACATGGACATGCACATACACACTCAAACACATCCTGCACATATACACACACGCACACACCTTCATATATACGCATGCACACAAACACGGACACACACGCATGAACATTTACGCACACATGCATGCACACAAACACATATACGCACATATATGCACACACACATCTATCTACACACGCTCACACACAAACTCAATTGCACACACACACGCGCACATACGCGCACATACACACACACGCACACTCAGGCACAGAGACACACACATGGACATGCACATACACACTCAAACACACCTGCACATATACACACACGCACACACCTTCATATATACGCATGCACACAAACACGGACACACACGCATGAACATTTACGCACACATGCATGCACACAAACACATATACGCACATGTATGCACACACACATCTATCTACACACGCTCACACACAAACTCAATTGCACACACACACACATACACACACACACACACACACACACACACACACACACACACACACACAGCACAAACACACAAATCACAAGTCATTATTATTAATTAATAGAAATTATTATTATTGTTATTATTATATATATACACATGTTCAAACTCTGTAGCTTTAAAATAAGCTCAGCAATCCTGGATTAAAACTGACACACACAAATTAACGCATGCACAAACCACAACTCGGATTATTGAAATAAATAAATAAATAACTAAATAAATCACTAAATCAATCAATCAATCAATCAATCAATCAATCAATCAATCAAAAACATAAGTGTTTTCATAAGGCCCCAGAAGTGGACGTGATCTACACACTCGGCCCGTCATTACTGCACACACAATGGCAGCGTTTGTCTTGGTGTGGCTGTGTTTGTCAGGACTTTATGTTCTTATAATATGAGCAAATGTGAATATTGATGTAAAGCACAGCTACCGGAGTCATCTCCACCCCTGAAAGGCATGAAGACAGACAAATACCATCTTTATAATGTGGACTTATAGAGATAGCAGCATTACTTTACCCTCTGATCAGCGCAGTTAACCAGGGGTGTGGAGAGAAATACAGCACAAGCGTCTCAGATATATCATTAAAACACAGATATGACTGTATTTCAGTGGATACAGCTTTTAAAGGGCACCTATGATGCAAAAATCAATGTTATAAGGGGTTTAAGCACAGTTTTATGGCAGCAGTGTAGTGATAATAGGATTGATCAAATATTAAAATCAATACTTTAGTATTAATATTGATATTTTAGCCTCAGACGGGGACTCCAATTAATGTAATACCAAAATTATGATTTTAATATTTGATAAAACCGATTGTCACTACAACAGTGTGTAAAAATAACCAGCTACTAATAGTAAAAGTCAACTAATTCTACGTTTTTATAATCAGACTTGATGAAATCAGTCTGCAGAAACACTTTGATTGACATTCTCCCCTTGTATGATGTCATCAAAGGGGGAAAGCCCCGCCCACTATCGACACTCTCTCCCTCATTGTCTTGTTTTTGAATCTGCCACTATGCTGACACAGGCATTTATAGCTCCTCCCTCTTCTGAATAGACCACAATCTAATTTGCATTTAAAGCGACAGTCAAAAAAACACCACAATTAGGATCAAAGGCTGAAAGGGTCAGTTTCAGAGAGGTATAAAACATTATTTGTGGGGTATTTTGAGCTGAAACTTCACTACACACTCTGAATACTCAGAATTTAAGCAAAGACAAAAAACATGTTTTTAGAAACTAGTTACTAAAACTATTAGGGGTGTATTGAATCATTATGGACCCGTGATTCATACGGATCACAACTCATGGTTTGGAGCACGCGTGAATTGCGTATTAAGACATTTTTTTACTTGTAGATTAATCCTATATTAGAAACAATCGCAGAGAGATTGCCTATGCGTCATACAAGTCACATGTATAAAAGCATTTCGGCTTTCCTGCAAATTATAATGATGACAGGAGACGTTGTGGTGGGTTATTGGGGGTGTGGTGGGTTTCTTATGTTGTTAAAGTTGTTTTTGGTCACTGCTTGATTAGCCTGCATTAATGCATTCAGTGTAAGCTACATGATTAATCATTAAAAGATCGGGATCTCAACACACACGCATCATCAATTATAAACTATGGTTAATTATAATAGTAACTCTGTAACCCTAATAGTAACTCTGGGGGTAGAATAGTAACTCTGTAACCCTAATAGTAACTCTGGGAGTGTAATGGTAACTCTGTAACCCTAATAGTAACTCTGGGGGTGTAACAGTAACTCTGTAACCCTAATAGTAACTCTGGGGGTGTAACAGTAACTATGTATCCCTAATAGTAACTCTGGGGGTGTAACAGTAACTATGTATCCCTAATAGTAACTCTGGGGGTGTAACAGTAACTATGTATCCCTAATAGTAACTCTGGGGGTGTAACAGTAACTATGTATCCCTAATAGTAACTCTGGGGGTGTAACAGTAACTATGTATCCCTAATAGTAACTCTGGGGGTGTAACAGTAACTCTGTAACCCTAATAGTAACTCTGGGGGTAGAATAGTAACTCTGTAACCCTAATAGTAACTCTGGGAGTGTAACAGTAACTCTGTAACCCTAATAGTAACTCTGGGGGTGTAACAGTAACTATGTATCCCTAATAGTAACTCTGGGGGTGTAATAGTAACTCTGTAACCCTAATAGTAACTCTGGGGGTGTACCAGTAACTCTGTAACCCTAATAGTAACTCTGGGGGTGTAATAGTAACTCTGTAACCCTAATAGTAACTCTGGGGGTGTAATAGTAACTCTGTAACCCTAATAGTAACTCTGGGGGTATAATAGTAACTTTGTTACCCTAATAGTAACTTTGGGAGCCCCAAAACGGCGTGGGCTCCTACAATCGTCCTATCTTTCCCCAGGAAAGTGTGTGTCTCATCCAAGACAACTCAGCCAAATCCTTCTTTGCATATATGTTTCCACCTCTGCTGTCATGTTCACACTGCACATACAGAATTGGTGATTGTCTTTAAAGTGTACTGTAGATCTGTTAAAAGAGCTGTAATACAGTGAGATCTGCACACTCCGGCTGGAAAGTTTCCACTAGTCATCTTAAGCCCATTTCCCGCTTGGCATTTAAGAACATTTTAATTGACCTGGCAGATGTATTATTAATAACAGCCGTCAATCAGTCTGGAGACTTCTTTAAATAGAAGCACTCAGTCCGTCTGAACGGGTCATCGTAGTGCTTTAAAATCAAGCTTGCGTGTAGTTTTGGCACATATTAGCGGGTTGCTAGGCGACAAGTCTGACTTCATTCACGATGCCATTTACTGCTCAGACAAGTTTAAAATCCTAATGAGATCTAAATGTACAATGTTTAGCTTGCTAGCACACATTGCTGTTCTTTAGGTGAACAATAGACCCTTTTCACATGACACCACGCACTGTCCGCTTTCACTCCACACATCTAACATCTTAAAAAAATAAATAATTAAAAAAAATATTTATTAATTTATTATTTATTATTATTTATTATTATTATTATTATTATTATTATTATTATTATTATATTATATATTTATTATATTTATTTATTATATTTATGTTTATTATATTTATATATATTTATTGTTATTAATATATTTATCAATAAATAAATACATTTAAAAAAAAAAAACTTACAGACCAACCTGTAAAGTTACCAACCTGTTTCTGCTTAAACCAAGAAAAAGGGACATTAAATGGAGTGCATTGCTTTGTGTCGCTGTCTTTACTGCAGGTGATGTTGGTATGTACTCGTTAGAAATAAGTGTTAAGTTAAAAATAAGTGTGTAATGTTGAACACTTCACGCAGTCAACGGCTGCGGCTTTGCTCATGTAGTGGAAAGGGTGGGGCTAAAAGCGAAGGGGCGGAGCTAACGGACACTGACATTGAATTACTTTAATTTGGATTAATTTGTGTAAGCAAATTAATAAATAATGCCACCTCCCGATAGTGAATGCGGTTATACTGACGGCAGCTACCATTTGGTAGTTTGGTTATTTATTTAACTGATTTGGCAACTACCAATCATCATAAGGGAAAACAATAGCCCCTTTCACACAGTGACACCGGTAAATTTCCGGAACGACTTTAACGGTAAATTTTAAAAAAGCACTGTTCACACAGACGAGGACGTTACAGAATTTCTCCGGTAAAGACCGCTCACACATCCATTCCAAAATGCCGGTAAATTCTGACATCATTGACCAAAAATGAGCTCTAAACGGCTGCACTTGTATTTTTAAACATTTGATTACGCCACAAGCTCTGTGGATGGATCAGTATCGTGAACAACTTTGATGAAAACATATAGAGAAACACTTTCGCATGTCGAGATGAACACGATATGTGTGTGTGTGCGGGCACTCATCAGCTGCTTCACGGGCACACGCGACGCGTCAAGCAACTGAAGGAAGCGGAGCTTAAAGGTAAACAAACAACGGCTTATCATAAGCAACTTATAGATAATCATTACACAATTGGCATTCAGAAAAAATTATCTGACTAACATCTAGCAGCTAAATGTGTCTGGAAAAATATTCAATTTTATTTTCATAAACAGTGTGGACATGAATGCGTCTGAGTGTTCTGATTGGCAAAAGCAGACATCTCCATAGACGTGCATGCAATCTTTCGGCTAATCTTCCTTCGGCGTTCACGCAGCGCAGCATTCCGGCAAATTACCGGTTATGTTAAAACATCTCTTTCTGGAATAAAGCCGTAACGAATTTATCGATATTTTCAAAAAGGGCCTATTCACACATACAGACTGTATTTGTGAAAGGGGCTAATGTTAGCGTTCCGATTGGGAAGACAATAAATATAAATATACTATGCTGTTGAGTGGGTTACTCTGCATTCACAAAGTGGCGAGAGCGTCAACATCCGCTTCTCTGATCTCGTATTTTAAGGGGCCGTTGATCAGCAAATTAGTTACATTCCCTCATAAAAAGCGTGCTTTCTATTGTGGAAATGTTGCACGCTTTTTATCAAGTTCATTTAACTATGGAAGATCCGTGTGCTGTGGCCTTGCACCACTAATCTAATTTTGGCCCGTTTACACTGAGTGGTACGGTACTGTTTGGTACGCTAGTTTGGCCATTTCCACAGTCAGAAGTACCTAAAAGCGAACCGTACAGTACAACTTTTTGGGTACCCTTTCAGAGGGTACCTAGCACAATAAAAGGGTACCAAAAGTAGAGCTAGACAGTAGCTGAACGCTATTGGTTTACAGAGAAGTGTCTCTTGTTCGTGCACAAGCAGAAAACTGAAAACAAAGGACGCTGTATTTTTAAATACACAGCCGAGACATTACACCGTAATAATATAGACACATGATAACAAGCCATTCCCAGAGATGGGTTGTAGCTGGAAGGGTATCCGCTGCGTAAAAAACTTGCTGGATAAGTTGGCGGTTCATTCCGCTGTGGCGACCCAGGATTAATAAAGGGAACAAACAAACCTTGTCGTCATCTTGAACAGCCACAAAGCCAAGAAGAAGAGCGGAATCTACCCTGTGCCCCAGAGTTGTTTTGCTTTCTCGAGAGTGATCGCGTACGCTCGCTGTGCATCTATATTTGAATTAACGAACTTCTTGAGCTCATATTAATGACGTGCGCGTGATTATTGAAGTGCTTCAGACATACAATTGTTTCAGAAACGGACAAATGCGAGAGTGAAGCTTGAAAATCAAAGGTGAAGCCCAACAAAACAAAGGAGGAAATGATTCTTTCAGCAACCTAAAAGATGAACACACTGCCATGTATAACGATCACCATCGCCTTCTGGACTATTCTGAACCGGGAATGACGGAGTTACTCTCTAACAGAGGCTACATGTGCTGCTGAAGATTACAGACGCAGATGAGAGGTTTGCTCTGACTGTGTGTTGTTTGTGAACCCAAATAAGGACTAAATGTCTGCTGTGTGTAGCGTTCCTGTAATTGGTAACATATCAGAGTCTGTGTGTTTATATATCTTCATTTATTTCATATAATCAGTTACAGCAGGCTATATTGATCATTGATCTGCAGTTATAATCAAATCATGTTCATAGAAAGCTTGGTAAGTGTAACCCAGATCCTTAATCTAGGTCACTAATAATAATTTTAGAAAGTAATATTATTATTATAATTTATTTATATTATTTTATTATTAATACTTTAATAATAGGTGAATAAAAAGCAGAAAGATTGCTGTGTAATTAAAGGTATTAACAAATATTTTCGTACCTGATCTTGATTGGAGAAGTGAGCAGTTAGCTCCGCCCCCGCACATGCGGACGAAAAGCACAAGCAGATAGTGCCAACAAGCAAACGAGAGCTAGAGAGGTAGCGAGTTGACAAGCAACCGAGAACTACAGAGATAGAGTGCTAACAAACAACCGAGAACTAGACAGATATTGAGTTAACAAGCAGTAAGAACTAGAGAGTTAACGAGCACAGGAGAGCTGGAGAGCTAACGAGAGCTAGTGATCTAACAATCAGTTGAGAGATAGTACATCAATAGAAAACTGACAAAATAGACTTGATTCAACTTTATCCTTCACTAATTACTGTCTTTGGCCAGGTTTTTTTTGTCCTCCTCACTACTGCCGGTGTTGTTCTTGGTTGAGAACGGTCATCCTGAGATCGTCCTGGCTGAATATTCATATTCTGGTCTGGACTGGCGAGCCATCCCACTGATACGTGCCTGAACTGGGTAAAAGAGAGTGAAATCTGCCGATCTGGTAGGACCAAACTAATTTGTTAAGAGAGTTGCTTTTTTTTTCCTCTCCTCGTGTTTTCTACAAGGATATTTTTCATGGGAACAATCTAAATATTTTTTCCTTGGACTGTTTTTTTTTTTTTTTCGTCCAAATTTTTGAAAGGAGACATTTAACTGGACACTTTGACTTCAAACAGAGACTTTATATTGAAAGTTCATCTTTATTTTTAACAAAGACTTTGCTTTTGCAATCTGAAATTACAATTTAGGGATTGTTTGGAACTTTGCATTTATTTTAATAGCAGTTTGTTGTTGAATTTACTATTCACATTCTCTATTGTATTATACTGTTTTATATTGGTTTTATTTGTTTTCTTTCTTTTAAATCTCAAAAGTGCATTAAGCAAAACAATACAACATAATTTGCATCAGTTTATTTGTTGTGAATTTACATGATTCATTTATTAATCTTAAAATTAGATTACACTGTTATCGCTATAAGTATTGTTCTTTTGCTCCAGTGAGTCGAACCTTACCTTTAAATTCTGGTCCAAAAAGAATTCTAATAGTTAGCGCTGGTCTCCATGATAAAAATACACTAGTCAACATATATAATAGGAGCCATACAAGGGCAGTGTTACATAAGGAACATTTATACACAAGTATTTATGTGTGTAAAGCATCCGTGTTGTGGGAAGTGCTTCTCATATGATATGTGAGCGTCCCGTACAGCTTTACTGTAGACATTTTCTTGAGTGAGAATGACAGTGACTTACACTTTCTGTCGAACACCACGCACACCAGGCAGTGGATACACAAGCCTGATAAAGGTGACCCATACCGAACCGTACAACACAGTGGAAACGGGCCATATACGTTCATATATTTGAAATATTCTGAAGCAGCAATACTGTTTTGTAATGTCGTTATAGTTAGCAGAATATTTACTGTATAACATTAATGCACATCAGCAACTCAGTAGCGTTTTAATGCATGTCCTTACAAGAAAACCTCAGAAATAACTGTGAATTCGACGACTGCAATATTAAAACCATTGGGAACAACTGTGGTCAATGCCAACAGGACTGCGCTGCCTGGACTCCTCTATAGCGGTGGACTTCTACATTCTGATTGGTTGCTGTCGAACCGTGTCATAGCTCATTACCATAAAGCTGACTTGTTTTCAACTCTTCTCGACGCCCACACCAGCCACTCCTCACCACCGGCTCCCATTAAAAATGAATGACTTCCGGCTACTTTGACGCTCTGGTGTGAACACACAGTAAGTGCACACCTACACAGTGTACAGTGCGCGATGTGGGATCTGTTTCCGGGTTTTCAGGGCTGGAACTGCTCTGCTTTCATCCAGAAACTTCCAACTCTGACTTCTTGGAGTGCTGTGGCAGTGATATGGAGTATGCACACACACACACACACACACTCTGTTTGGCCATCTGCTAGCGCGCACGCTCCAACCAACAACATCAGCTTCTGGCAGAGCGTTCAGATCGCTGCTCTGCATCTGAGATTAGCGGCTCGTCTGCTCTCGCCAACACTGACTGACAACACAGAGAGCACCGTCACTATTACCACAGCTGCTGGACAGATGAGCACACACACACACACACACACTTACCTGAGGACGACTCACTAGACTGAACAGCATTCGTAAACACACACACACATACAAAGGCACACACACAGAGAGACACAGGGGCCGACTGTATTATACTACACACACACACACACACACACACACACACCTGAAAGTATAAGTACTTCTCAATTACAGTCACTAGAGTATTTTGTCATTTGTAAACGTGTGTGTGTGTGTGTGTGTGTGTGTGTGTGTGTGTGTGTGTGTGTGTGCTTGCGCACTCACTGTCTGGTGTTGTTCAGCTCTCCGTACAGCCAGCCGTCTCTCTCGTCAGGGATCAGCAGTGTAATGACGTCTCCCTCCTCGAAGCTCAGCAGTGTGCTGTTGTTTCCAGACTTGTGAGGGAAGATGGTGCGCACTTTAGGCCTTTTGTCTATGTGGTTGAGTCCAGTGGCCATCGACACCGAGCGGGACAACCCACTGTCCTCATTCAGGTAGTCTGACGGGGAACACACATACACACAGACAGTCAGAAAACAAATGAATAAAAGTCAACTGTGGGGGCGTCACGGTGGCTCAGTGGTGACCTCACAGCAAGAAGGTCGCTGGTTCCAGTCCCAACAGGGCCAGTTGGTGTTTCTGTGTGGAGTTTGCATGTTCTCTCCATGTTAGTGTGGGTTTCCTCCGGGTGCTCCGGTTTCCCCCTCAGTCCAAACACATGCGCTATAGGCGAACTGATTAACTACACTGGCCGTAGTGTGTGTGAATGGGTGTTTCCCAGTATTGGGTTGCAGCTGGAAGGACAACCGCTGTGCAAAACATATGCTGGAATAGTTGGCGGTTCATTCCGCTGTGAATAAATAAGGGACTACTCTGTAGGAAAATGAATGAATGAAGTCACCTACAGCTTGAAGCACTGATATCTACTCTGCACTTGGAACGAAGCAGACTTATTTTAAAAGTCAACACAAGATCTGGCGCCGTTTCTTCTGTCACCTCATGGAGAATTCTGTTCCCCAAAGCAATGTATTGTACCTAGAAGAGGTTGTTTTGATCATCACTGTACTCAGGGGCGGATTTAGTGATTTGAGGGCCCTTAGAAATTCCATTCAATGGGACCCAAAAGTCCTAAAATGCACCATTTGTTCTGTATTTTACAATAGTGACCATGTTATTTAACTCTTGATTGTTCAATTTTTGCATGTGAATACTGTCAGACTCAACGGAAAACCAGTAAGCACTGTTTATTTAGCTTTGATTTTGGCTCTGTCGTATTTATATAAGCTTGTAACTTATTATATTTAATGCAGATGCACTGTGTAGAAAAATACATGATCATCACAGTCAATCTAGATTAATTAAATCTTTCTAAATAGAGACGTTCAAATCACCTACTGAAATTATATTATAAATGTCAGACCTTTCCGATATCATGCAGCCCTAATATTGAGTATATCAGCATCCCTGCTGGGTCTGTGCTCCTGATGAGCATGTGTGGTAAATCTGAGGGTGTAAAACGGGTGTGCTTGGTCCTGCTTACCGCTATCACTGTCCGGTCTGGAGGATTGCTGGCTGAACATGTTGGCCAGTGGACTGGTCTGCGGCGGGGCGGGGGGCGCAGGGATCATGGCCTCAGAGTTGGCCTGTTGAACAGCAGAAATCACAAATAATTACATCATTAAAGTGGATTTGAATGACTTTTGTGATTACGCTGTGTAAAGTCTCGTTCTTGTGCAATTAATTTAATTAATTGACTTAATACTACTGCAAATCCATACGAGTCTCATATAGACATGATGGCAGTGCAGTATGACTGTTTAAATATCATATGGACAAAATGCTCTATGCTACACGCACACAGAAATGCACACACAGAAACACACATGCACACACACACACATGCATGCAAACACACACCCACAAATGCATTCATGCACAGCCACACACATGCACAGACAAACAAACGCATGCACGCACAAACACACACTCACAAATGCATGCATGCACACACACAAACACACACACAAATGCATCCACGCACACACAAACACACACATGCACGCACAAACACACACATATGCACACACGCATGCACAAACACACAGATGCACGCACAAACAGACACATGCACGCAAAAACACACTCACAATTGCATGCACGCGCACACAAACACACACATGCACGCACAAACACACACATGCACGCACAAACACACACATGCACGCAAAAACACACTCACAAATGCATGCACGCGCACACAAACACACACTTGCACACACAAACACACACACAAATGCACAAACACACAGATGCACGCACAAACACACGCATGCATGCACAAACACACTCACAAATGCATGCACGCGCACACAAACACACACATGCACACACAAACACACACACACAAATGCACAAACACACAGATGCATGCACAAACACACACATGCACGCACAAACACACACATGCACGCAAAAACACACTCACAAATGCATGCACGCACACACACACACACATGCACACACAAACACACACACACAAATGCACAAACACACAGATGCACGCACAAACACACGCATGCATGCACAAACACACACATGCACGCAAAAACACACTCACAAATGCATGCACGCACACACAAACACACACATGCACACACACACAAATGCACAAACACACAGATGCACGCACAAACACACACATGCACGCACAAACACACACATGCACGCACAAACACACACATGCACGCAAAAACACACTCACAAATGCATGCACGCGCACACAAACACACACATATGCATGCACAAACACAAACACAAATGCATGCACGCGAACACACACATATGCATACACAAACACACACACATGCATGCACAAACACACACACATGCATGCACAAACACACACACATGCGTGCACAAACACACACACAAATGCACACATGCATGCACAAACACACACATGCACGCACAAACACACACACACAAATGCATGAACGCACACACAAACACATGCACGCACAAACACACACATGCACGCACAAACACACACATGCACGCACAAACACACACACACACAAATGCACACATGCATGCACAAACACACACATGCACGCACAAACACACACATGCACGCACAAAAACACACATTCGCAAACATATGTATGCATGCAGAAACACACGCATACACGCACAAACACACACACTTTCTTTTAGTTCTCAAGTTCAGCAAATGGTGAAATAATGAAAGGTGATTTCAGGCCTTCATTTGATGCTAAACAGAAGCTGGTTGATGTAACATTCATGTCAACCTTGGACTACGGTGAGGTTATCTCTATTATATATGCTTCGTCTCAGAGTCTGCATGCACACTGTTTACCATGCTGCACTCAGATTTAGAACTCATTTGAAATCTCGAACTCATCGAGGGCTGTACACTAGGGTAGGCTGGTCTGCTTTGTCCATTCGTAAGCTCGAGCATTGGCATATCTTTGTTTACAAATCTGTACTGGGTTTCCTCCCATCAACGCGTCTTTCCTGGTAAAATAAAAGGTTATAATAACACATGCACAAACACACCCTCACCCTGCTGTGGCGCTGCAGTGATGGAGACGGCTGCGGTGTGTTTGACACTGGTGTCCGCAGGCCTTCAATCATGCTCAACACACTGTCCGGCACATTGGTGGCGTCGCTGCATTTCTCCTGCCAGACAATCAGGTTATCCGACAGCAGCTCTCGGGCCTTCACAAACACACAACACCATATTCATTAGTATCACTTATTGATTTTAATATTTAGATGCTTTTATATTATACTAAAGCTATACTTACTATAGTATTAGATCAGCTTTGTGTCCAATTAGAAAACAAATGACCGCAATAATGTGAGGTGTGTGTAATGCAGTGTGTATGGGGGCATTATACTCTCTTCTGGCTGCTGTTATTACTGTTTTTCCTCTTTCTGAAAGTCTTAGTAACACCATCCTGGAGTTTCTCTGTCATTATTTCAGCTAATAGGACTGTAGAATAATCATTTGTTGTACTCTCACATTCACTGCGCTCTGAGTTTACCAACTATTACGACTTCTGCTGCAGAGAAACATGCACATGTGAAAAAGGGCGTATTACTTGCCTATTAAGAAGACATTAGCTGTATATTAGCAGTTATAAAGTATGATCGTATTCTACATCCCTAATCCTAGCTAATACCTAAACCCAACTACTAATGTATGCTGGAGAAATGCATGGAGATGGACACAGATGAGCGAAGAAACCTACAGTTTTGATTACAGTATACATATTCTCTGGTTGAATATTGTAGCTGGATTAATGTGGATTCATCTGTTCTTCATTATGCTCTTTGACTGATTTCTGTATTTTTTAAAATGCTGTATATACACTCATCGGCCACTTTATTAGGTACACCTGTTCAACTGCGCATTAACGCAATTTTCTAATCAGCCAATCACATGGCAGCAGTTCAATGTATTTAAGCTTATAGACATGGTCAAGACGATCTGCTGCAGTTCAAAGCGAGCATTAGACTTGATAGTCAGGCGTGCTCCTGTTGGTGTCGACAATCTGGCAACCTGTGCTTGTGCGTGTTTTGAACCAGGAGTGCAATACCTAGCTCAACCACTGGGTGTCAAACTTACATACTGCACCTTAAATGCACCATTCAACCTTAAATCAAGCACCTTTTTTAATTCCCCAAGCATATGTAGCACCGTGAAAGTCCTTAACATTCCACTTACACTTATTATTCACATTCAAATGTCACAGTAATGATAACATGTCATTTTTAAAAAAATTTGACCATTTTAAGCAGTCATGTTCAAAGTGCTTTAGCAAAACTTGGTGATCTTCAAATGCAGTTTCTGAAACACTGATCAAGTGTGCATTATTAGTTTTCATTACAGCTCTGCCTGTGAGAGCGGCTAAGCTCAAGCACATCAAATAAGCAGCCAATGAGAAGAAAGGGGCGGGGCATGTCAGATAATACAGAGCATTTGATTGGTCAGAAGATTTGATGAGAAACTAAAGCATGAGACGACGTGAAAAAAAAAATCGTTGAGCAATTTAGGTGGAGGTCACAAACTGCAAACTTGTTTATATTGGTTTAATATCTTCTAAACACACAGCACACCAGCTTACAGATATCCTAGAAGACAAACATACTGAGACTAACATCTTAAATAATGTTTTACATATTTCACTGCACCGTTGACCTTCAAACTAAGGGATTTGTAAGGGATTTCCCACGCCCAGCGCCTTAACCAAACGCACCTTTTGATGGAAAGCGGAGACCTGGTGTGAGAAGGAGCAGTGTTTGTCCACCAGGAAGCAGAATCTTCTCTTCTCCTCCAGCAGAGCCTCCTGACAGCCGTCGGCGATGAACTTCTGCATGTCCATCTGACGGTGGGTGAGTGTTTCCAGACACTGAGCAAAACAGACAAGGATACAGACTCTCAACGGCGTGTTTCAGACCCCACAGTGATTAAACGATGATCAATGAACTGCTGATACTTTACAGAGCTCCTATCATGCAAAATCAATCTTAGGCAGCTGTTTGGATAGAAATGTGTGCAGGTATATGGCGTCCACTGTCATATTGGAATGACGAACACATCAAGTGTACACATCAAATGTAGATTCAGGATGCAAAACCCAAGGCTTGACCCCAATTTGACGTAGCAGTTCGGTGTTCCTCACCCATAAATATTGAGTGACAGCCACGTTATTAAAATGTTTCCATAGTAATGCATACTGTAACACTTATGTCATTCATAACAGCTGGAATCAGCACATCTGCTTAGTGAACACAACTATAAACGAGGACGCTTCAATCACACTAGAGGAGTCCTGCTTTGTGGGCTTTATTTTGTACAGTAGTACAACAGGGGTGGGTTCTTCGTACCTCGCTTAAATGATCTGAGATGATTTGGCAGATCCTGGATCTGTTAATCTTGATAACTGATGGCTAATTTGGTTCTTCAAACACATTCGCGAATCAGATTAACATGTCTGGATGAACTGATCTGAGATCGCTGCGTGTGTTGTGAAGGACAGATCTATCCATCCTAGAAATCATGATCAGCAATGCAACGATTGGCTGACGGCACAGCAGCGTAATGACATCATCTGATTAATATTCAATTATCCATGTGAGCAAAATTACATCAAATTAGCAGTGAACAGTTTGTTAAATATGACATGCAATAACTTTACACCTTGTTGTGGGCTGCATGATTTACACTTTCATGTGTCAAGAGCAGCTTCATTTGGTTTTACAGTTAGAGTGGATTTTCCTTATTACAGTAGCCATAGTTATATTATAGTAGCCGTTTCCTTAATCGGTGTAAAGAATAACTGGATGTTTACTAAAGCATTTTGATATCGGTAAAGGCGTCTGCAACTTTTGTAAAGCATCAAATCACTGTCATATTAACCGTCAAAACATGTTTATGACTGCATAAATGTATTATTGCTTTTTAAAAAAAGTGCATTTCTATTATCATACACAAATTGTACTAAAGCAACACACACATGGGCACATGTTTTCTCTTTGCACCACCAGATGGCAGTCTTTGTTCTTTCATTTCGGACCTTAGAGCCCCCACCAGTGCCGATATACAGCCATATCGCACTTTTACGAGAGTGATATTGCGCTTATACTACAGTTTGACGGCATAATTGTGTCTATAAAAACAAAATCAAACACGGAGAGTCTCAAAAACCCTTTTGTATAAGGAACTACTTTCTTCCACATTGGATTGAAATCATAAGCTGACAGTTAAACAGCTGTTAAAACAGTTAAAAGCAACTTTTAAACTGTAGATCTGTAGTGTCTGCTTTTTGCTGGCTGTATGTGGGCGGAGTGATACACAAACGGTAAAGAGGCTGTAGGAGTTCTGATATTGCAGAATATCGCACCACTATCAGCCAATCAGATTCGAGAACCAGACATATATATATATATATATATATATATATATATATGTATAGAGTTAAAATATTTACGATTTTCCCAAGTGCATATAACTACTGTAAAAAAATTCAGCATTTGGTACATACTTTCAGTATTTGCTTGAACTGAGCCGATCTAATCCTGTTTATATGAATTGAACCTGCTCCCGACCAGGTTTGAGCAAGCAGAACTGTTGCTATGACAACAACTCTCGGATTTATGTCAACTCTGGATTGTGTCAAATCGTCAATTACCAAATCCAGCTAATTGAGTAATCCATGTACGAAGAACGGACCCCAGATCTCCATACAGCAGTGTATATTTACGTTTACATTTGTCATGAGTAGACGTGCAAAAACAGCTCAAAGTTAAATGTGTGTGTGTGTGTGTGTGTACAGTGAACTTTGTAATGCATTTGTGTGTGGCTCATTCATAGTTGTGCGAAGGCTGAATAAACTACACAACAAATATATCAGGTATCCATTGGGAAACCTCCTGGTTCAGCCCTACTGTGGTATTTTTGACTTTGATCTCTGCGTCATCGAGTCTGAGTTGCTGTCTGTGGGCGGAGAGAAACAGCTCATTTGCATTTAAAGGAACAGGCTACAACAAACAGCTACAAGTCCCTCTGACATTTTCAGAAGGGTATAATAAATGACTTGATGGCTATTCACATGCTTTATCCCTAACATATTGAATATCAGTGTTTGTCTAGTACAGGGGTGCCCAAACTTTTTCGTATAAAGGGCAAACAACTAAATATTATTGAGAGCCGTGGGCTGAAGATAAAGATACCAATTTTACATTAAAGTTGCCATGGTTAATTTCCTTGGTTAATAACATTAATGAATAAATAAATGGACATTACTTTGAATCATATTAATTAATAGCCTAAAAGAAGTTTTGATTTGGGGGGGCCAAATCAAAGGTTACCATGGGCCAACTTTGGCCCACAGGCCCTAATTTGGGCCTAGTTATCTCTGGTCTAATGTAAACACGGACATCTCCAGAGGTCAGGCGAGGACACGTGGAGATTGGACAGGTCTGAATATGCACAAGCGTGACCAGAAGTGGAGAGCTCCGGCTGACTTTCAGCACATAGAGATTTACATGCTGGTCTTCTGTGATCACGGCTGTGGTCTGATTGCTCTGCACATGTAAAGCATGTGGTGTGTGTATGCAGGTGTTTTACATAACAGACACACCCTTATGCCGGCACAATACAGGCCATGCAACAGGACATCGAACACAGCTGTCGGTGGATGCCAGGGCAAAATAAAGAGAGATTTCACTGTGGTTTGATGTTACTAATAACTCTGGTTCGGCTTTCACTCTTTGTGCTTGCGATACATGTCTTGTTTTGTCTGCTTTTTTTTTTGGGCCACCATCTACAAAGACTGGAGAAACAGGATTTAGTGGCGCTACGTCTTGGAGATCATAAAAGATCTTGCATAAAGCTTCTCCTGACATAATGAAAGATATCTGGAAGGTCAGGATTACACCAGGAATTTAAGGGGAGGAACTACAGAGGACTTAAAAAATAATAATAATTTAGTTAAAAAAATGGAATTGTGAAATACAATAAATGCAACAAAAAGAGGATTTTTTTTTGGTGTTTTTTGTTAAAATGAGATAAAATTGTAATATTAAAAATGGTCAAAGTTGTTGACCTGAAAACAATGCACAATTTTAAAATTATATTCTGAAAATATGAAGAAAATATAAAATAAGCAAATGATTCACATATTCTGTTCATTAAAGAATCCCTAAAACAAGTTATCACAAATAATAATAATATTAATAATAATAATAAATAATAATAGTAATAACAGTACTACTAATAATAGTAATAATTAAATAAATAATTAAAACAACAACAACAATAATAATAATAATAGTAACAATAACAATAGTAATAATAATAATGAATAATAATAACAATAAATATAATTATTAATAATAATATTAATAATAATAATAAATAATAATAATAATAACAATAAATAATAATAATAGTAATTATGATAATAGTAATAATATTAATAATAGTAATGATAATAATGTTAATTATAATAAACAACAACAACAACAACAAATAATATTTAGTTATAACAGTAATAATAATAACGATAATATTATTAATAATTGTAATATAATAATAATATTAATAACAATAATGATAAATAATAATAATAGTAATAATAATAATATAAATAATAATATTAATAATAACAACAACAACAACAATAATAACAACACTAAATAATGTTAATAATAATAATAATTATAATAATAAATAATTATAATAGTAATAATATAATAAGAATAATAAGAATAATAATAACAATAAATAAGAATGGCAATAATAATAATAATAATAAATGTTTATTAAAAAAAATATATATTTATATATATATATATATATATATATATATATATATATATATATATATATATATATATATATATATATATATAAAATAAGTAAAAACATATATTAAATATGTCAATTATTTTAAACATTGATAATAAATATTTCTTGAACCTTTGAAGTATTGTGTGACTAAATACAGAACTAATAATGCTAAAAAAAATAACATAATATATTCAGATAGAAAGTCATGCTACTCTGTAAAATACAATTTAACACCGCATGATGTGAAAGGGTCAGAATTGTGAGAATGCCTGGAAACTAGAGGCAAACGTGTCAAAATCAAACAGTATAAACTCAATTCTGAAAAAAAAACTGATATAAACCATTTTGAAAAAAAAAATGTAATAAATAAAAACAATTAAATCAATAAAAATAAATATATAAATAAAAATAAATGAAAGTTTTGCACCTTAAGCTCAATTCAAAGGAAAAAAGTCTGCAACATTAGACTGCAATAGAAACCCAAGTCTGTTTGGCAGATGAAGCTACAATACATAACTAAAAGCCGTTGAATCAATCAGTAATATCTGGTGTACTCTTCATGAGGTCAAACAGATCAAACATTAAACACAGTAAGCAGCAGGAGAGTTAAATCTACACTCCACAACATTTCCTGTCCGCATCAAACCTCTGGATCAATTGTTAATGAGGAGGAAGGACCGGCCTGTTATTCTGCTGGGTTTTCCATCTCAGGTGCTGCTATAAACGGCTAAAGAAAACAATACAGGCCGGTGGTGCAGGAAGAGGCAAACCCCACGCCACTGATGCTAATCCACTTCCTGCTCTGAGCAACAATATACTGCAGCCAGACTCAATCAAGAGTGCTTCAACAAGACCCCAGACAGCCGCCAGGGCCAACTAGTTGTCAGATAACAAGTCTTAAAGTCAGCATGAAGGAGAAGATAAGATTTTAGCCCATATCGTGACGTACAGCTATTTGATTAGCTCCTGAATTAAGACAACACTGTAGGGCGGAGCATGATTTAATCCTTTGGGAACTGATTGGATTGTTGGGCGTTTTATAAACAAGGAAGAGTG